AAAAGGTTCTTCCCCCAGAGGGTGGTTGGGCACTGAACAGGCTCTCCAGGGCAGTTGTCACGGCCCCAAGGCTGCCAGAGCTCAAGGAGCATTTGGACAATGCTCTCAGGCACAGGGTGGGATTGTTGGGGTGTCCTGTGCAGGGCCAGGAGTTAGACTTTGATAATCCTAGTGGGTCCCTTTCAACTCAGGATATTCTATGAAAAAAAAAAAAAAACCAAACAAAACCTGTGACACTTACCAGCTAAAGATCCTCAACCTTCAAATGACAAAATGAGAAACATGAGCATTCAAGAGGCAAAGAAATATTTGATGAATATTTTACATGTGGTACTCTAGAATAAACCAGAACAACTCTTAAAATTCCCTGTAGAACAAATAGCTGTAGCATTTTATCACATCAAGGTGGTGCAGAGGAAAAGAGTTACCTGTAGTGTCTCTGGGTCTTGAGACAACTCAAACTTTGTAGATACCAATAAGCACTACTGTGCCTAAAATGAATTCCCACTAGCATGGAATGTGAAACAGACACAGGGACTATTAGTCAAATGCTCAGTCTTAAATATAATTAACACTACATTTAAAGCACAGTGTAAAAATAAAATTATTAAGAAAAAATAGATTAATTTGAAACTGCTTTGTTGAAGAGGACAGAGCCAGACTATTCCTCTCATTTATGCTTTTAAACAGATTTTCTAAAATTCATTATTAACAAAAATCAATGCCATCACATCTTTAAATAAACTTGAAACAAAATTTGAACTCAAACACTTCTGAGCAGAAAGTATTACTTAAACCTATCGCACTACATAAATTATGGCTGACACCAACTAAAAAAAAATCACTTGCTTTCTCTGAGATGACTGAAACAATGGAAAGCCTACAACCAAGCCACATAGTGAGGATGTTTACACTGTTAAGAAAGCCTACAGAGTAAGCTGAGCTCAGATGTACCTCTGCCTAATCTAATCCCAACAGTCTGTGACCAAATCTGTAAGGATTGCTGCACTAGGTCAATCCAAAGATTACTCTACTTAGTTCTGTACTTTATGTCCAATAGCAGTGAGTGGGAAGAAAGATAACACAGCAAGCTCACAGTAAGTGACCCTCTTCAGGCAGTCGCCCCTGGAACACACAGCTTACTGAGCTGAAGATCTGTGACTTACAGCTTTCTAAGACGACTTGAATTTCTTGTATTTTTCTGTGGCAAAAGAAACTTCCCACACATAAACAATATACCAGACCCTGAGATTAGCTCAGTTGGTCAAAGCACGGTGTGAATAACACCAAGGTTGTGGGTTGCAGTAATGAATTCTGCAGTTTATAACTATCACTACACTTACTGGATTCTCATTTGTCATCTTCAAGCCAGTAATACTTCCACTGACTTCTCTCATCTCTTCCAGGGTGAAGAGTCCTCACCCATTTAAGTGCTCCATGTGTGGAAATCAGCCATTCCTCTGCTCATGACAACTGTCTTCCCCTGTATTATTCTCCAGCTCCACAAGCCATTCTCCATCTTTGGGATAGAGTGAAGTACCTGAACATCACACAGTACTCAGGAAGCAGAAGCAAAACATGCTTTAAGCCTTCCTATCTTCCTTGCGTCCCTCCTCTATAGCTAAGCACCGAGTTTGGTGTTTCAGAGAGCTACTCAAAAAACTGTGATTCTCCCTGAGTGGTATCAAATCTGGGGGACACCTTGGCTCCACAAGACCAGTTGTAATCTGTCTCTAAAAATGAGGTGCAGGGGACTGAAACCCTGTGAGAAGTCCAGTGCTCCAGGTCCCTGTGGTTAAGACACCAAATTCTCTCGTACACGAGATAAACAGAAAAACACACTTATCTTCATGAACTAAGTATTGTCAGGGGCATTTACGTGAAGAAATGAGATTTCTGTCGTCCTACACAACCACGTTAAAATCTGAATGAACCTGACTAGCTTCAACTCACGCATATTTGGAAAACGCCTGGATGTGTTAATATGAGCAGGGAGGAAGGCGCGGGCGCGTTTGGCAGTGCTGACTTGCGTTCGCAGCGTTGCCCAAGAGCGGCATGGCACGGTGAGCCCGGGGCAGCTCCTCCGGCAGCCAGGGCGGGGGCCGCGCTCACCTGCACGATGAGCGGGCGATCCTCAGGACAGGCCTCGCCGTAGAGGTTCTCGCGGCGGTAGTTGGCGTCCCTGAGGAAGACCTGGGCGTGCAGCATCGGCGTGTAGCAGAGCTGGGCGCCGTGGCGGCGGCTCAGCAGCCTCCAGGCCAGCTCGCTCTGGTCCACCATGGGCGCCACCACGAAATGGGCGCTCCGCAGCGTCTCCCTCCAGAAGGCCTCCCCGCGCAGCTTCGGCATCTCCCGCGCGGCCGCCCGTGCAGCGCTGCGGCCACCGCCGCCCCGCGCCGCCGCCCCGGGGCTCGGCCTGAGGCCCGCGGGCTCCGCGACCGCTGGGCCCGGCCCGGGCCCCAGCGCTGCCGGACGGTGCCACCGCCATCCCGCTCCGGCCAGCGCTGCGGTGCAGCCGCGCGCCGTCCCCTCCGGAAACCGCGGCGCTGGCAGCAGGGGCCGCGCGCGAAGAGGCCCGGCCGCGGGGCCCCAGCGGCGCCTGAGGGGCGGCTCCCCCGCGGTACCGGGCACCCGCAGGGACCCGCCGTCCCCTGTCCCTGAGGCCGCCCCTGCAGGGCGTGAGACCCGAGGGCGGTTTCTTTGGGCCCTTCAGCCCCTGCCCCAGCAGGAACCGAGGGGAAGCGCCATCAATGAGCAGTGCAAGAGCTCAGACTGAGTGAGGGGCTTGCCCTGTCCTTGGTGTCGGATGGCCAGGGCAGAGAGGTGGAAATTATCGAACCGGCTGAACCAAATATAACAGCAAACATGACAAAACTGCTCATTCTGCCTCATTTTATAAAGCTACTGACCATCACCAGGATGAGCACAGTGGAGGATTTCTACTTTTCTCAGCCAATACCTTCCAGAACATCAAAAGTGCTGCCATCTCCAGTCAAAACATCAGTATAACTTGAGTCATAGGGCTTTCTTTCTTCAAAAGGGAAAAACTCAAAATCATTATGATTCTATAAAAAAGCATCAGAACCTAAGCAGGGTTACATGTACGCTCCAATTGCTCAGTAAGTTTGTTAATGTCTATCTATTCACAGCCCTTACAGTTCAAGTTCACTGTCAAAGCCTACATTTTTCTCCCTCCCCAACTTTCTAGCACTCATGGCTGTGGTGAACTTGCTGCAAGAAATAGTTAAGTTTCAAGCTTCTAATTCTTCTCTACCATCTTTTGTTGCCCTCAGCAATGTAAACAACCAGTTCTGCTATTTTAAATACACAGCCTCTCCAGCCTTCCTTCAACAGTCCCAATTGCCTCTCATGCAGCTGCTCCAGGGATATTTTTTCTTTCTTTTGACCCCAATATGCTGGCATGATGTCTGATCTTCAGTTATGGTAACTAAGTGCAGGAGAAACAAACACCTACTTCCTTTATCACTATTCTACCTTAAATCTTTTGGGTTTTACTTGACCTCCATCTCAGCACCAGAAAACTTCTCTACTTCTTCTGTCTAATAAGTGTATAGGGTCAGAGGACTGTTCTTCAGTCTTGAGATTAAGACCAGCATGGTCTTAACCTATGAGAAGGTAGCTGAAAAGGGAGATGGAATGTATCAGCTGACAAGAGTCCCCACTTCACGTTCACAGAGAAGAGCAGGTATGAAAGACTTCTGCCTTTCTCTTCTCAAAACAAGCAACTGCAGTATTGGATTTTGCATTCTGACATTATTATACTACCTCTGTCTGTCTGATGGGCTACTGAGAAACAACAGGCAGTACCAGCACTAATAAGGTTTTTATTTTTTGGCACACTGAATTCAGCAGCCAGTTATATAATGGCTTAACAGGGCAGCAGCTCATAACTAGACAATTATGGGAAAAAAACAGAACAAAACCAAACATCTTCTGCTTTTCAAATAACCACCACAAGAACACTGAGAGCATATAAGCTGTCAGTAATGCTTGATCCTTCTACGACTAAGCCAGTATCTTCAAGCTCTGCTTAGATGAAACCATGCACATTTGTTATACAGAGAACTTGTCCAAATCCTGCTCTGATGGATGGGACAGCATTAGTCCTTGCTCCCTCCACAGAATTCATTCAGAGACATTAAACACTTTAGTAGAGAAATATTGTACCTGTTTGCCCACAGTTTAATTACTCCTTTCTTTTTCCTTCTAGGTTTTCAACACAAGTGGGATTCTTTAAACTCCTTTTTTTCAGGCTCACTACAACTGCCAGTAGTTAAACCAAACCCAACCAGTCCCCATCTGTTTTATGTAGTACCCTGTGCCAATATGTGCAGGGACAGGGTACAGGAGATCTGATGAAGCCCCATGGAATGCACACAGTTCATAGCCACTTCAGCACTGGATTCTTTGCAGCTGTAAGGCACGTCCCCTTCCACGTTACCCACTTTTCTCCTTCTGCTCCTAACACCTTGTCCTCACACCTAAAACTTCACAGCATTTATACCCATTGCCTGTCTAACCCTCTCACTGACCCTGAGATAGATGCTGTTGTCCCATTTTACAGATCAGGAAGCTGAGGCAGGAGCATTTATGGCTTGTCCAATACCACAAGAGCCCGAATTAAAGGCTGAGAGTTTTCACTTCAATATTGTGGTTGTATATTGATTGTATCTAAGGTACCAAAATCATGGCAACAAGAAGCCATGCTCCAGTATACTAAGTCTTTATTATTATTATTTCTCTAGACTCCAAATCAGATATGCCAACAGCAGTTTTTGCTTGATACCGAGAAACGAGAGATTCCAGGTGAAACACGAAATTAAGAAATGGTGGTAGAAAATAAGACAAAAAGCCAACTAGTGATCAATTCTGTTTAATACTAGGAAAGCCAAAGAGAAAAAGACACTCTTCAGACCCAAAAGTATTAATTAAAAGAAAAAAAAAAAAAACAACAAGAAAAAAAACCCAAGACATTTCAAAATGGTTTAAGCTGACATTATGTTGTTTTATTTCAGATTTCACAAAAGAAATACTTTATAAAACTAAAACCAGTTAACCCAGCCACTATCAACAGAGGGTGGTATAAGCAAAAGACACTAGGTCAGAACCTGCAGTGAAGAGCCATCTGTTCCTGTCACTGGAACGCTCCTGTACTACCAAGATGCTTCACTGGGGGATGAAGATAGAGCAAACTGGGGTTTTACAGCAGTTCTGAGAGGCAAAATAGCTCCTCCTAGTTGGTGCTTTGTTGCTATCCAGGTCTCCTCTGTATCATAAGTGTAGCAAGGATTTACTGATTTTGGAAAGGACAGATGCAGCATAGCAAAGGCAAGAAATTTTTCAATTGAATTTTACGCAAGTTTCCTTTAAAAAGGTACTATGTTTTAAAATCATACCATCAAACTGATTACTTGGCTAACTTATGTGGGATCTCCAGTCTCATTACTGAAAGGAAAATGAATACACAAGGCCTAAGCAAGCCCTGTGCTAAATAAAATATAGAGAGGCTTCTTAGATACTTGTATGTTTGCCTGAGCTTTGGTTATATGAGAGCAGGGGTAGGAGGATTAATTCAGTTGTTAAGGAATTCTATTCCCTGCCCCCACATTCCAAATGTTTGGTTGGGTGGCAAGACTGGAGGTGGGAGGGAACAAGGTAAAGCAATAATCTTAATGCTTTACTAAGGTTCTGATACAGGAGGGCACAGAACCTTGCACAAATACAAAGTACCGGCCTAGGAACACCTTTGCCCAAGTTAAGGCTGTTGAATACAGGGGCATCTGTCAAACCATCCACCCTATCCCCCCCGGCCCCTCTCTCCTAAGAAGAGTGGATGATGGCAAGAATCTTTCTTTTTACCTTTTCCTTTCCGAATAGGGCAGGGCAGTGGGAGATAGAAGAACAAACCAAACAAGAAACCAGACTATTCCAAAGATGCACTTTTGTTTAACAAATGGGCAAGTTTCCCTTGTAGGATAAATCTTCCCCTCCAAAAAGGGATGTTTCTTTTCTCCTATAACCCATGATAAATTAAAACCAAGTAAGAAGTCTCTGGTTTGACACAATAAATACTTAGAATATAGCAAATTAAAAAATATAGTTACAAAACCCTCAATGGAATTCTCTTTCTGACCTAAACTGCAGACAGATTCTTCACAGACAACAAGTATCTCCAAAATCAGCTGCAGCTCCACTCCTCTCTCTGCTCACTAGGCTTGGTCAACAAGTGCTATCACATACCCTTTGGAATACTGTTAAGACAAAAACAATATAGAGCACAAGAAATCTACTCCTAGATTTGTTTTTCATACTGCCAAGGGTGTAGGAAGCAACCATCGGGGGGAACCCTCATAGCAGTGCACAGTGACAGAGTCACAGCACTACAGTAACACGGACAGGGTTACTAGGGGGAAAAACAGCATAGGAAAGGAAAGAGATAGAACCCATAAAAGTTGGGAAAAGACAAGCAAGAAAGAGAGAAAAAAAGACCAGTTGAGTACAGCTGGACTTCCCAGTTCTGGCAGCAGAGCAGATGAGATGTTGAAAAATAGGAAGAGTTCCTTGGGGTCTGTCATAACTAGGAATGTCGTTGGCATTTTCTTCACCGACAGTGAGTAAGCAGAAGTTAACCCTCCCTGACACTGACACGTGGCTCTGCCAGTGAGCTGTGGATGATCCCAATAATCGATTCAACACCAACTCCCTCCAGCAAGGTGCGGTGATCCCCTTCAACAACGTGGACAGATACTTTCCCATCACATACCTGCAGAGACACAAAAAAACCCAACTTTTCATTCACAATTTACAACCAGTTGGTCATCTAGCTGGTTTGGGTTTGTCAGTCTTTTAAGTTACTCATAGTTTACACCACTGCCTCTACTAAATTCAGTTAAAAACAGCACCAGTTTTACCTCGACACATTTTCATAGCTTGGCTGCAGGGCACTGTTTGGAAACAGTGTTTTAAAGCACAGTAGTGTGACAGCATGGCAGGCAGTCCACTCAAATATAATCTGGGCAGGAAGTTAGCCAACCTGGTACCAAAAGAATAATTTACCTACAATATCAAAGAATAATGATAAAGTAGCTACTTCCAAGCCCTTAAGAAAACCAAATAAACACCCCCTTTCCCCACTATCTTTCTCCTACCACCATAAGTCTTTCTTTAAGGTCATTATGTAACCTTAAGAACATGTAAATTAGCCTGGAATCAATAATGACTAAGTTAGAAGTCTGAAAAGATAGGAGATGCCAGAAACAGGAAGAGAATTCTGAAAATCACTTCCTTTTCCCTGGCATTTGCACCATAAGACACTTAACCCTTCTATGTGAGCAGGCGCTATAGAATAGTGACCTTACCTAGACTACAGGCCACAACCCTACTTTTTTTAGGCCCACAAGAAACCCACTGCTAACTACTAACTTCTAAGTGGTCCAGAAAAGGTAACTGAGAAAAAGTCGCCTTTACTGTCAGAAGGCTGACACTTGCTCTTTAGGAGGCTTCCCCCATTCAGTGGACAAACTTTAGGATCTATAGTGAAAGAAGACTAAAAGTTACTCTCTTTTAACATCTTTATCATCCAAAGTAATTCTAGAGGGTTGCAAGAATCAGCTGTAGAAAACATTATCCACTAAAGAAGCTTGACCTTCTGGCCCTCATTACCCACAGAAAATGCCTGGAACCAATCAATGCATTTGCTTTTTGGGACTTCTAATTCTTGTTAGAGCACAATAGCTGCAGAGCGATAATTTCTTTCAGGTTGGTTTTGTCCATTTTTCCTCAGTAAGGATGATGATTTTCCATGCTTTTCTTTGGATCCCCCAAATATCAGGAGAAACTCAACAGTCACCAGTGGACCTGAGACTGACCTCTGAGAGTTTGTAGTCTCTTCCCAGACCTTCCTCATATTCATTGTGAGACTTTGCCCGCATCAGTGTCACATTCCCATGATACTTGGAGTCTGGTATATACTTGTCAGCAGCCTTCAGTTTATGGTAAAATGAAGTAGCAGCAAAGCTGAGTGCTTCACGATTGATGTTTGTATGAATTTCAGTTATCAGGTCTACAGCAGCATTCACACGAGCCTCCAGATCTTTCAGGGGCAGAAGAACCTCCAGCAGCTGGAAATATTAACATTTTTTTTACATTAGTCTCGATAGCTCAGAATCCATCTCCGTTAGGCAACAAACCACACCTCTCTTGTGCAATATTAAGAAATATATGTATCTACTTTTTTATATATATATTTATACACACACACTTTTTAAGATAGACATGTATATGCACACACACATATAAAAAAATAAGAAAGATTACCTTATTGTATTCAGTGCCTGTAAATTGCTGAACAAAGGCACATAATGCTTCAGTCTCCAACGCAGCCTCATTTCCTTGGGTCAGTTTGGCTCTGTAGCTCTGGAAAAGAGAAGAACACAATGTGAACGTGAAAGGGATGTGCCCGATCCTGAAAGTCAGATAAAAACAATTAAGAACAAAGGGTATGAACTGGGGAAAAAAGGGAGGGGGGAGTCCCTTGAGGAGAGATTAGGAAGCAAATCCAGGGGTGGCAATTGCCAAGAGCCAAGTATTCTCTAGAAAGTACAATGCAAATGGAAAGGAAGCCTTACGCAAGGTTTCCTAGCACCACTACACGAGGATCTTGACTTGCAGACACCAGGATCTTCCAGAAGACATACTAATATTATGATTTATCACAGCAAGAGCAACACTTGTGCCTGAGCTCTTGCCAATTAATGAAGACGACCCGTTATACACTTCTACCCTTCAGCCATCTCTAAAGCATCCACTGTCTACAGCTGTCTCCCAACTTCCCTGTCAAGAAGGCTGTCAGCTTTTCAGATTGCTCATATGTAGAATACTAAGCTCCAAGAACGTGAGCCCTGATGAGAGAGGATGGTCCCCAGAGAGAAGATTTTCTTTGTGTCCCTTACCTGAGTATATGCTGCCACAAAGGAATGAGACCCATCAAAGAGGAATAAACTGTTGAGTGCATGGGAAGCATTTTGTTGTGCTTGCAGCTGGGAGCACATTTCAAAGGCTACACAGGCACCGAAGGAGTATCCAGCGATGCGGTAAGGCCCTTCAGGCTGGATCTGCTTCATGCAGTCAATGTAATAGGCTGCCAGGCTCTGGATGCTGTCCAAGGGAGCAGCTAGAACACAGAAGTGAGTTAGAAACAGACTCTGGTGAAAAGACACTGGCAGAGACAAATATGTTTTCGCGCACTCAGAAACAACCCTGTTGGAAACATTCAGGTTATTGTGCAGGTAAATTACTAAATTATGGTTAAAAACTTGCGTTTTGAAAAACCAGTAGTAATACTCCTGTTTTCCGAGGACAGGTGGAATAGTATGCCTCTTTTTCCCCCATACATAAGCTCTTCAATCTAACCTATTATTCCTCATGATACTTGGGGATGTTTGACATGACCCTATGCAGACTAATAGGCCCTGATACTTGTCCATGAGAGTTTAATAGTCTAGAAAGAAAGCACTCTCTGTAAAGCAACTACAGTTCAGAATGTTATGTTTGAATTCAAAGTGCTGAAGAACTGAGATACCTTTTGTACACTGGAGCCCATAGCAGGGCATGTGAAGTCTGGAGGCGAGAGTGTAGAAAACTGCAATGGATCCTTCAATGGGGTGAACAAGGAAAAGAGGGCGCTCTGTACTCTGAACATCATTGAGACGGGTGATTGTTGGCCCTTCTGGGTTCACTAACAAGTTGTTCAAATCTAGTTTTGGAGGTTCGCCCAGGCCTGTCTTCGTCAGTGGGGATGACTTCAGCTCTTTGAAGGAAAGCACACCAAACACAATTAGCTTCAGGATCAGTCTTGGTCATGTAGCCACAGTCCTAAAGGAGAACCTCAGGGTTGCTCTAGATTAGCCCATTGGCTCAGCACATCATCAGACACAGACATAAGGATCTTCCTATTGTCAGTTTCTCTGCAGCAAGGGCACATGCTTTTAGCTTACTATAAGCATGACATTACATTGTTTATTCCCCAGAGAAGTAAAAGGTCTCAAATTGCATCGTGCACACAGCCACATAAGAGTACTCATGCATGCAGATGCTAGCCAGGCAAGAAAGCAGCTTTCACACTTGCTCTTACACCCTGCCCCCAGGAATGATGGGCCTGACCCAGTGGTCAATACACTCCTGTGACATGTCTGTCACTTAAAAGCTGTTCAGCTATAACCTTATTTCATTATCCAACCGAGGTTTATGTCACTTAGACCGAAAGCAAGGGATTGCAAGCTTAATTATTTGGACTCAGGTGACTGGTAGCAACCCTAATCCAGACACTGTACCCTCTGCTGTCTTGGACTTGGAAGAAAGTTCACGCAGTTTGTTGATTGTAAGGAGTCGAATTTCTCTCATGGTCATAACGATGTCATAGTCTCTCTCCAGTGTCTGGCGCACCTCCACTCCCATCAAGGAATCCAAGCCCAAGTCAGCCAAGGAACTGTCAGCATTCAGACTACTCACATCACGGACACCTGAGAACAAAACAGCACACTAGCAGTTTCTTTTCAGCTCTAGGCCTCTCTAGCAGCCTTCTTCAGTTCCTTTTTTCTCCTAAAATCTCAATAAACTGCAGCTACAGAGAATTACCTTTCAGGATCATCTAATACTTTCACAAGTTACCTCTTCTAGAACCCACATCTTGTCATATGGGATCTAGTCTTTAGAGTACACATTAAATGTGCGCAGATTTATGACAGGGGATACATCAGTCCTAGATAAATAGCTGAGAACATTTTCACATCAGCTCTAGACCGAGTCCTAAGCAGTCAGTCAGCTAGACAAATTTCACATACTGGGGGCTCTAACTGAAACTGCAGTCCTAAACTTAACGCAACTAATCCTGATCTACAACATGAGATGAAAGTTATCAGTGTCAATGATGGGTGATTGTAACACAATGTCTTTCACACTGGAGGAGGATATGATTCCTCTAGCCTGTAAAAGGCCTCTCATAATAACACATACAGGCCTTACCTGTAAAAAGCCTCTTAAAATAACACCTGCATCCACAGCTCTTTGCCCTATCCTCTCCCTTGTGCTGCCCCATGATGCTACCCTTCCCACCATTAGGCCTCATTACTAGCTTCTCCCTTTGTTGTCTTCACACTTCCTCCTTCCAAACTAACCCTACAGCTGTGGTTATAAAAGCCATGTCTGCTATCAGAGGCCAGATGCGCTGTCAGTGAACTGCACACAATTCTTTAAATACCACTCAAGGGACTGTCTTTCATTTATCAGTACCTCTTTTGGTAGAAAACAAAGGATCAATACACACTTCTGTCTGCAAAAGAGATAACTGAAGTGGGACACAGTAGACAGAGTTGACAGAGATTATTCCCTTTCAACATAAAAATAGGGGACACAATGGTAAAAGGAAGCAAGTTCAATACAGACAGGACGTGGCACCTGTAACACATATTTAAGCTGTGGTTACTAGATATTCACATGGGATGACAGACAGCTGGTTAGTGAATACACTACCAGTTAGCCACTTAGTACAGAAAAGCTACTTTTTGCAGCATGGGGACATTCCAAGGTGAATGTTTGAAAGCTGGAATAGTACTGAGAAAGTAAGTAATATATTTCCCCTATTATATACTGTCCCAGAATTTTGCTTCTGGGGGCTGTTCCTGTTGATTCTCCATTGGAGAGAAGTACCAGTCCACTTTAAATAAAACTCAAGACACTGGAGTATATGTGTGTGCATATGTAAACACAGTAAGGGAGTAAAGCCCATACAAGAAACCAAGTGATTACTGGAGAGAAGGAACACTGTAAATGAAAAAAAAAAAAAAAAAAAGTAAACAGTCTCACAAGTCTCACAAGAACAACATACCCACACCACAGGAAATCAGGAGGAGATGCTGAACAGAGCACCTACAGCAGCACCACTGCTTTCCAAAAGCAATGAGATGGTAGACACTGCTCAGCAGTGCTTGAGTGAGACCACTTACCCAGGATGTGAGCAACAGCTTCTACAAGATCCCGTTGACTGCCTCCTTCAGCTTTCACAGAGACCTTCTCTGCTAGGACAAAACTGGACATGACAGGATGAGGTTGATTCAGGAAGATATCGAGCACCTCCAGGCACGAGCTGATTTGCTGGGGAATCGTTCCCCCCACCACAATGTCTTTGTTTCCCATTGTCTTCAGCAAGATACCCACATCACCAATGGCTCCCCACTGGATTGCCAGGCCTGGAGGAGAAATCAGAACAAAGAACACACTAAGCCTTCTAACTAAAGCACGTGGACGGAGTTAAAAACCAGCTAAGCTAAGGCCTGCGTTTCCTTTGTGCTGTTAAATGGTCAGTGTTCATTCACATATGAATGATTCAGGATAACAGCTGGGAGGGGAAAACAGCCTTCAACATTCATTATCACTCCAGGTAAGTGCACAAGTCTCTGGTGAGTTGGTTCTCATCTGGATGTTTGGTGAGAGAGATTATTCTGCGCAATGAGTAAAGTCATCTTACCTGGGAGTCCATCATGATGTCGCTGCTCACAGATACGCTCCATGGTAGAATTGGCAAAGCCATAATTACTTTGCCCAGCATTACCTCTTCCACAGCTTACAGAGGAGAACACAACAAAATAGTCCAGATCTGGACACTTCTTACGAGTCACCCTGGGAGCAGAGCAGGAGAGAGAAACCTCATCAGAAAAACTTGCTATGTTACCAAGGAAGGCTAGTGCAAGACTAAAACGACTAAGTTTGATCACTTCTGTGACCACAAAAGCAGTTATTATTTGTCCCTTGTACAGACACTTACCAATCCAAATGAAGGGTGCCTGAATACTTGGGTTTGTTGACCTCCCAGAATAATTCAGGGGTTTGATTTTCAATCATGCCATCTCTAAGGACCTATGGGGGGGTGGGAGGAAGGATTAAAAAAAGAAGGTGCAGGTTCAGTATCTCCAGTTTCTCTGTTTAAATATGGCACAAGGCTTCAGATATGAGAGGATATCTCTATACAATGTATTTTTGTAACTTTGCAGTACAGACATATCCCGAATATCCCAAAATATGACACCATGGCTTTTGCTAAGTCTGCTTTTTTTCAGTATTTTTTCAGTATTACCACAGCAACAATTTTGGCAAGTTCTAAATGGGATTTTTCCTGTCCCCAGAGATCTTGGACAACGTTTGTTTTATCACAGAACTGAACTTGCTGGTCAAATACTGTTGCTTCTCAGGTCAAGGGGCCAGAACCAGAAGCCTTTAGTCACTAGGTAAAACCAAAGCATAGTGTCCTTTGAAACACAGAGAACTAAAACTATGAAGCCTGACTGCCTTCAGTAAAAAAGTCACTTGAATGGGTGCTGCCTCTTACAAGCATTTATCTTACTTACCACAGCCAAATTAAAGATGCCTCCAACTGGTCCAAGCTGCAAAGCTTCTTCTATCAATAGCTGTGTTCCTTCCAGTGTTCCAATATCACTGGCAGATACCAACACTTGGATTCCCAGTGCCTTCCACTCTTTAACACGTTTAGCCTGGTAGCCTACAAAAAATAAAGGCAGACAGTGCCTGAGATGAAGCATTCAAACCATAAGGCTTTGGTTAACCTGCTCCTTATTTTCTGACTAGATGAGGACTGAATAGCTAAATAATTCCTGATTCAGCTACAAGGGAAAAATTGGCCAAAACTTAAAACAGTAGCTTGAATTTCAGAAATATTCTAAATAAATCAAGTGGAGAACAGAATCGGGAGAACCTCTCTCAATGATTTTTGAGCAGACTTGGAAATGTGGAGAGGTCCCAGCTGACTGGAAGCTGGCGAACGTTGTCCTGATTTTCAAGAAGGGCAAGAAGGAGGACCCCAAAACTACAGGCCTGCCAATCTCACTTCAGTGCCAGGTAAAGTTGTGGAGAAGATTATTCTGGGAGGTATTGAAAAATACCAGAAAGACAAGGCAGTCGTTGGTCACAGCCAGCACGGCTTCATGAGAGGAAAAGCTCTGCTTATCCAACCTGATTTCCTTTTATGACAAGGTAACCCACCTGGTTGATCAAGGGAAGCCAGTTGATGTAATCTTTTTGGATTTCAGTAAAGCTTTCAATACTGTCTCTCAGTGTATCCTTCTGGACAAACTGTCCGGCCCAGAGCTGGATAAACACATCATGTGGTGGGTGAGCAATTAGCCCTCGGATCGAGCACAGAGAATGACAGCGAATGAGGTAACCCTAACCTGTCACTAGTGGGATTCCACAGGGCTCTGTCTTGGGCCCTGTGCTCTTCAACATCTTTATAAATGACTTGGACATGCGGACTAGAAGAGATACCAAGAAAGTCTGCAGATGATGCAAAACTGGGAGGAGCTGCTGACTCCCTCAAAGGCAGGGAGGCCCTGCAGAGAGACCTTGACAGATCAGACGGCTGGGAATCACCAACTGTATGAAGTTCAACAAGGGAAAGTGCAAGATTCTGCCCCTAGATGGGGCAACCCTGTGTGTACATACAGACTGGGGAATGAGATGCTGGAAAGCAGTGCCAGGAAGGGGCCCTGGGGGTGCTGGTCGGTGGCCGATTGGCCATGAGACAGCAGTGCCCTGGCAGCCAGGAGGGCCAACCATGTCCTGGGGGGCATCAGGCCCAGCATCGCCGGCCGGGCCATGGAGGGAATTGTCCCGCTCTGCTCTGCCCTGGGGTGGCCTCGCCTGCAATATTGTGGCAGTTTTGGGCACTGCAATGTAAGGAAGACATGAAGCCATTGGAGAGTGTCCAAAGGAGGGCAACAAAGATGGGGAAGGGCCTTGAGGGGAAGCCATGTGAGGAGCGGCTGAGGGCACTTGGTGTGTTCAGCTGGAGGAGACTGAGGGGAGATCTCATTGCAGTTACAACTTCCTTGTGAGAGGAAGAGGAGGGGCAGGCACTGATCTCTTCTCTGTTTTGACTGGTGACAGGACCTGAGGGAATGGTCTGAAGTTGTGTCAGGGGAGTTTAGGTTGCATATTAGAAAGAGGTTCTTCACCGAGAGGGTGGCTGGATGCTGGAATAGGCTCCCCAGGCAAGTGGTCACAGCACCAAGGCTGACAGAGTTTAAGAAGCATTTGGACGATACTCTCAGGCACATGGTGTGACTCTTGGGAATGGGTGCAGCACTAGGAGTAGGAGTCGATGATCCTTGTGGGTCCCTTCCAACTAGGCATATTCTGTGATTCTGTGATAAGGTTGGAGGGGGAGAAGGAAGAAGAAGTACAACCGTGAAGGGAAATGAACAAGAATTCGGGTACTGGGACAGGAAAGAATGGCTAGATTAGAGCAAGAATTCGGGTACTGGGACAGGAAAGAATGGCTAGATTAGAGCAAGGCAACAGATTATAGAGCATAGCCTGAAGTTGAGAAATATTTGATCTATGTGTTTGCGCAAGTTGTGCAATTGTGAGCTTGCCAAAAGAAAGAAGAAACCTGTAGAGACAGAGATTGTATGAGGAAATACTGAAGACTATCACCGATAAGAAATCTCAACGCTGCAACTGTAATCAAACTAACACCTTAAAACTGAGTAAAAAACACTTACAGATGTTATCAGATAGTAGGGTCCGTCTTTACAGATGTGCTATCTAAGGAGTAAGAGCAAGCATCCACACATGTAATCTGAGAGACAGAGTATTTTTAACAAGGAGTTTATAGGCCCCTCCTTGTGGCACGTGATCCAACATGCTACAGCCACTGGACAAGTCAGTGAGGTAGCCAAATGCAGACTTTGCAGAGGGGGTAAAAAGTAAGGCTGCAGAAAAATTGTGTGAGGGAGAAAACGGGTTGATAGAATTAGGAAGCATAAAAAGGGGAAAGTAGTAGTTGGAAAAAAGGTCAAGTTAAAAGATACTTCCTCCTTTAGAATAAAGGGGACAGTAGTTTGTTTAAAGTGAGATAATACACAGAGGAAAGGAAAGAAAAGAGATCAAGACATTATTTGCCAACAGAAGGCTTAAAAATGGAGAGAAACTACAAACTGAGGTCTGTTGAAAGGCAGTCAGTTTCCCTGTTCCCTTACAATTTTTGCTTACCAGTTCGTATGCCAGAACGAGATGTCAGTATGAGCTTCTGTGCTCCTCTCTCAACCAGCCACTGTGCCAACTCAAGCCCAAATCCTCCTAAGCCCCCTGTGATGATGTAAGACTTGGTGGGTGGACAGGAGGTACGAGAGATTGCAGAGATTTTCACTGGTTCAGACTTTCTTAAAGCATATTTCTTTTCCTCTTCTTGGACCTTCCCCCCGCCGCCACAAAGGAAACAAACAAACAAAACAGTTGTTACAATCAGATACACAATACATTTATCTTTCCATGCTATGCTCCTTCAGTCAATGGGAATGAACCTTGTAGAATCAGCATAGAGACTTGACAGCTACATTTGTTACAGTGTCAGCAGTAAAAACTGACCCTGTGCTGTCCTAGTTATACAATTTCAACTCAAAATGGATCAAAATATCCAATATAGTCACCTACAGAGGATGCCAGATGCATCAGAGAATCAAAGTCATTATCTCATTACCTTGATCATAACTTTGCCAATATGTTTTCCTTGTGCCATGAACCTGAAGGCAGATTCTACATCTTCTTTGTTGAAGACTGTGCTCTTCAGGGGCTTTACTACCCCGTCTTTTATGCCTTTCTTCAACAACTCTGATACTATTTCCCACTCTTGGTTTCCCTCATCAAATATTGAATCTAATAGGATCCCATGAAATGCCACATTCTTGAGGAAGAGAGCCATTCCTAGAAAAAGCAACTTGGTTATGACCTGATGCTGCTGACATTTCAAAACAATCTATCTTCTGCTTCAGAAACATTTCTGTGTAGGTCACAGGAGTAAAGCACTCAGATGCTTGAATTCTACATTTTCCAAACTCATTCTTGCATATACTCTCCAAATGCTATATTCATTAGGTTGTTCTCTTATAAGCAGACCAGTTTAACAGAAATTCCACTCACAAAAACTGTGTGTTGAGAGGACAAGCTATATCATGGTTAGTCTCAGATTAAAAAGGACATTTTTTTGTCCAGTGACAGCTGAGTTAGAGTCACAGAGGAGCTAGAATCCTAATGCATCCTGTCAATCTCCACAAGAGACTCTTTCTCATAGCAAGGTTTTCCAAGAAGATGATTTTGAAATTTAATTAGAATAAGAAAGCAGACTGTCAACACTTGCTATATGCAATCATTCTAAAACAGGAGAACATTCTTGTAATTTTTCACTAACACATCACATTATAACATTCAAAAATTTGTTTCCCAACCGAGAGAAATCAGGTTAATCTTGCCCCTGTGCCTTAAAAAACTGGCAGATGCTGTTGACTGCCTTGAGGGACAACAGGCCTTGCAGAGGGGTTGGACAGACTGGAACATTGGGCAATCATCAATTATATAAAATTTAACAAATGCCAGATTGTGCACCTGAGACCAAGTAATGTCAGACAGAGGTACAAACTGGGATTGGCTGGAGACCAGCCCTGCAGGAAGGGATCTGGGGGTGCTGGTGAGTAGCTAACACCTAATGAAATGTATTTCCTGGTGCCCATCTTACCAAGCTGACTGTTGTTAGACAGATCAAATTTGCCTATTTCCAAGAAGCGCCCATGTCGAGCAAGACAACGCAAACTGGCCTGCAGCTTCTCTTCTGCCAAGGAATTTAACACAAGATTGACACCTGCAATGAAAGGAGAAGCATCTACTTAATAAACTCAACTCTGCCAAGAGCCTAACCCTGTCTTCTAGTGACTCATATTGTCTTTAGAAGGTCCAATTGCATAATGTGGCACGACTAACAAAAAAAGGAAAAATATTTCTTGAACTTCACCTTTTCCATTGGTAACTCGCAGTACATGTTGCTCAAAGGTAGTATCTCTGGAGCTGGCAAAGCTATTAGCATCCAGCTGTGGGAATCTTGCTTGGAGATACTCACGTTTCTCAGCAGAGCCTGGAAGTAGAAAATAGGTTGAAAGATGTCAGTACTCTTACACTAATTTCTTTTTTTATTATGAAACAGCCCATTTTCCTCTGCACACCTTTTCCCAAAGGACTGTAACCGTGAGCAGCCATCAATCACTTGTTTCAAAGCTCTTAGTCTCTCAAGATGTCAAACCTTAAGGCAAAGGCTGTCTGGTTGGTACTGCTCATTTATAAGGTAGAGCAAGGACCAGAAAAAGACCCAAACCTTTCAATGCATAGGCATTGGATTCATATTACCGAATCAAAAGGAACAAGCCTTGATCTTTTTCCGTACTTTTGATTATATAGCGTGCAGGGGTAAATAAATTTGACTGTGTTGTGGAAGTTTTAAGCACATAGTATTTATCATGTATGCAGTTCTCAGCCTGGAAACTAGATAAAAGCTACAGCAGATCATACTGGGGGGAATAAGTATATACCTACATAGGTGTATACTTACATATGTATGCACATGTGTGCACACACATGCTTCCTCTATTTCTTATCTATAACTCTGTATTTTTCCCCATAACTTTGGGCCCTCAGTACTCACCTACAGTAGCAAAGACACGGCAGCCCATGCTCAGGGCAATGGCAATGGCTGCTTGGCCCACACCTCCTGAGCCAGAGTGAACAAGGATACTCTCACCCTTCTTCATGCCACCTCGAACCACCAAAGCATAGTAAGCAGTGGCATAAACCACAGGCACTGAAGCGGCTTCTTCTAGAGTCCTAAAGAGCAAAGTGAAAGAGATTATCTTTAGCCTTAGAAAAGACTAGTAGATTCTCCTGATGAAATTTGCCTTTCTGCAATGGAAAGGCTAAGCTGTTGAGATTGACAACCACTTATACTCTCTGATCTATCATAGGGCAGACTACCACAGCTACCAAGCACAGCCAAGATTCGTCATTCTACAAAAATATTTCAGTAGCTAACCAGTAACATAACCAACACTGAAATCCCAGTGTATACTGAAACACATGGAGCTAAGAGCCCCAGAAAGAAATGAGAACCTTGTGCAAGCCACCCACCCACTGTACAAAAACTAGAACTGAACTCCTGCACTGAATCTGAACCAAAATCCTACGGTTGCTCCAAACACTATAGCCCTGTTATAATTTCCCATCGTGCAGCACTCAGGTTTGATCAGCCTCAGGCAGGAAGGCAAACCTTAACCAGAAAACAGAAGTTGACCTACCAGTTTTCAGGCACCTCCCATAGAAACTTCTTGTCACAGTCTACCACTGTGGCCAGCCCCTTTGCTGGCAGCAATCCCATCACTCTTCTTCCAGCCAGGTCCCGTCCTGAGAACTCCATGCCCAGCATGCATTGCTGCAAAGCCCAGTTACCTGAAAGAACATTAGCACCTTTTATAAAGGAAATTTATCTTCTAAAATCCCTTTACTACAACAGCGGTCCCTGAAAGTCAGAACCCCAGAGACAGAAAGAGTGCTGGGAGTCATCTACTATGTACACAGTTCATAAGTCCCCAGAGTTAACATCTCGCTCCAAGAGTAGCAGGAAAGGACTTAGTCTCATTAAATCTTAAGTCTTTATCCTTGCTGATACTGCTTTAGTTTCCAGTTTTCATCAGAGAAATCTCATGAAAACATCTTGTTTCAGAGGCAATTCTGTCCCTCTGAAAAAGAATGATACATAAACTAGAAAGGATGATCACAGTGAAAATATACTGCAAAACCTGAATTTTTGTAAATTCACATTTTAGGCCCTTATGTCACCCACAGAATCATAGAATGGTTTCGGTTGGAAGGGACATTAAGGACCATCCAGTTCCGACCTTTTGCCATGGGCAGGGACACCTGCCAGGTTGCTCAGCCATTAAGGGGAACCCAGCCCTACTCAAGTCACCCATAAGAATCTCCCAATGAACTAAATTTTTACATGTTTTACCCCCTCTCTTTTAAATAGATTTTTAAAACCATTTCATAGACATTACATTAATTCTTAACTTCTATGAAGCAAGGTGACATCATCTCCATTTTGCGGACAGGCAATGACTTCATCGTGCAAAATTTTTCTTCCTTAAAAGCCAAGCATGTTCAGCAGCATGAAACTTCAGCATTCTCACCTTGGTATGTATCCTGTCCATCTCTGGAACCTCCATCAAGTTGTTTTACCTCACACTTGGTATCTATGCAATGAGGTCAGTAACATTTCCTCAGAGCATGGTTTGTTAATTGTGCTATATGAAAAAAATGGAACTGCATGCTTTCTTGCTAAACTGGCATAACACTTTAGCCAGTACCAAACTAACATTCAAGAGATTATGTGAATTATTTCTAAGACAACAATACGTGAATACATTTCCTTCCACTGTAATTTTAACTCACCAGGGATAGCATCTGGAGAAAGCTTCCCTGTGGCCAGCATAATGTCCCGGAAGTTGAGAGATGCATAATAGACTTTGCAAAGTAAAACATTGGGATTAGTTGTGCGGAAGTGTCGAAGTGGGGAGACAATCCAGTGAAGAGAGGAGAGGTCTCCACGAGTCAGCACATTTACATAGGCGTATTCTGTCAACTCCTGAGGTTGTGCTGCAGAAGAAGGAACAATAAGAACTTACATACATCAACACAGGTACGTGCTTTCCAGAAGGAGTAAATTTCTTGTGTAATTGCTACCTCCTCCTCCATTTGCTCTGCAGAATGCTCTTTCTTACTCTGCAATACTACTGATACTCTAAACAGCCTATCCCTTCTCCTGATATCAGAGTGTGCCACTGTTTGCTCTGAGTTGCAGCAGAGGAATTCAAAATTATCCATTAAAATAATAATAAAAGGTAACTGTAGGAACAATAGCTACTCGTTTTCTATTCAAAGTTCATTCAGATTCAAGACCTTGCAAGCAATCCTCAGACCTTAAAGGAGTTACCTTGCTGCAATGGGAGATGCCTGAAGGAGCCCCACTTTCCATCACGATACACATTCATCACCAGGTCCTTCTGAACAATCTTCTGCATCTCCAGGGAAGAAAGACTCGTGGGTGGGACAGCTGATGAAGAGTTCAAGTTGGAAATGAACACACACCTGGAAGACACCAGTTGTCATTTTGTTTATTTTGGTAAAGGCCTGGAAAGAAACTAACACAGAAATACCTCATCTCCCAAATGTGGCTCAAGGGCGTGCTTACATACCTGATTCGGTGGCCTTCTGCTTCAAGGCGGAGGCAGTTCACCATTCCCAAAATTCCTGAGTTCCCACAACTGGTGGCAGTCAACCACACAGGCTGCTCTGATGGGTCAGCCAAGACCTCCTGCAGGACAAAACCCAAACTGTTTTACCAGGAACCACAAAGAAAATAGATCTCATATCCTTGGCAGAGATGAATAACTTCTATTTTATGAAAAGCAACTGAACATACACACACTCCCATTTTAACATTACTAAATATCTCATTTTGAAAGTATAAGATTTGGAAATTCACATACACAGAACACAAAAATTCTTACCTTTAATGATTCAACCCACTTATAATTGGTCTCATCTATTGGCAGAAAAATGGGTGTTTTGGCAGGGGCTTGCCGGCGACACAGGAAAATAACCGAGCCAAAGAATGACTTCTTCATGGCAACTAGATTCAGTGAGGCTTTGCTGAATAAGTCCTCCCACTGTGCCTGTCAAATCAAGTAAAATAACAATATAAGAGCAAAATCAAGAGTCAATTAAAACTACAAGTCACATCTATACTTCACACTGAGACTCCTTAAAGACAACTTCACCAGAAATAGCAGGCCCTGTCCATCTCTTACTTCCTTTTGCTTGAAAACTTGGCATCTGTTCTGTGTTGTCTTGATACAAATATATGTTTAATTAACATAACAGTATGTTTTCCACATCTAGACTACTCCTTCTTCCCTAAAGGATCTCCAAAAAGCAGGAGTACAAATATATCAAAGCCCTTGTTAGGGAACTAGTCTTAGCACTACCAGGTATGCAAAACCCACAGCAGTGACCACGCCATCAAATCCCACAGGGTATTTGAGTGTGTCTAGTCTATGTCACAAAAGCCCTGTCTGTGGGGAGATGGGGAGAAGCACCCAAACACTAGCAGGGAAGAAGCACCCCTATACCTAAGTTACACTGAAATGGTATTTCAGAAAAAAAGAATGAAAATGCATGTATGGTATATCCAGAAACACTTCAGGCTCTACTATGTGAATGAAAGAAATATGGTTGCAAGCTCTCAGGAAAGCATCCATTTACTTTTCATATGCTAGGCACAAACCAGCAGAAGTGTGATCCCTTACATCAAGGAGTAAGGACAGTAACTGTATCTAGAAAACTTTGAGAACTATATTAAGTCCTGCCCACTCTTGCCTGCCTTGTATCATTTTCTTTAGAGAAGGTGCATTCGACTCACATATCTTATCCGAGGGATTTGCTAACACCAGGCTACTGACATTTATGACAGATCTATGTTTTATGTTATCATCTTCAGTAGCATCTCAGTGTCTTTTTATCCCCTTCTTTACTGGGAAAGTTGCAAAGCAAAAGATCACCCTTTCTTCTCAAATCTCCTCAAAAAATCTTTGCAAAAAGTAAAGGGCTAGAATCCATATAATTGAAAAATTCAAAATCCAACTACCCCACTCCAGAATTATAAACAAAAAACTTAAACTATTAGAAGTGCTACTCTCTTCTTATTCTAAAGGAAGAGAACTGAGAGGCTACATTCCCTCAAATCAGGAAGAATAGGAAAGTTCAGTAGAGGCACAATTTCCCATTACTGCTTAGTCTAACAGCTGCCAAGAGAAGGTGATGTCCCACTTCCCACCCTTACTCTTGCCATTCACTCTCCTCCTCTTGTGCTAGCTTTGGCACTAGGTAATCTGCATAACATACTGGTTTGAAGATATAATACAGACACCCTGCTCCCCCTCCCCCAACTTCTCTGGGCTTATTTTACTGTATCTCATTATGGAATCAGATAAAGTGGGAAGGAGGAAGGGAAGAAAAGACGAAAGAAGAGTACAAGAGAAAAGTCTTCCTTCCTGGAGCACTTTAATTTTAGAAGAACTTAACTAGTCTGTAAAGTCTCACTCCTAGCAGTGATATCAAAAGGAAGAGGGATATTCTGATACTGAAGCATTTTAGGATCCCACAGTGATAAAGCTGTACCCCACCCAACAATGCAGCACAGTATTTTAACTAAAAAGGAATTGTCCTGGCCACTGTTTTCACACGATTAGACAGATAAACACTGACAAGGAATAATGTTCAATGCATTAAGAAAGGCTTTCCTGACTGAAGCAACAGTTTACTCTCTCAACCTAATATGTAGGTAATATCCAGTAATTCACAAGCCCTCTCTTCTGAAGAAGTGTTTATTAGATATTTCTGCAGAAGGCCTCAATGGAAAGGTATGGAAGTGACACCTACTCAACATTCACCATCAGAGCTTCTGAAGGCAGGGGACTCCAGGCTACCCACCAAGGAAGTGTTTGCCCTTTCAGGAGGCTTACCTCACTCAGGAAGCTGTGTTTCTGCTGCAGATCTGGGCTTGTAAGGAAACCCACAACTTCCCCAAGAGTTTCTCCTTTAAGAAGGGTGTGTAGCAAAACAAACCCTCCTTCTTTCACTGCAGCTGCCAAATTAGAGAGGATTTCAGTGGTGTTCCCTAGAACACTTGTTGAACAGTTGTACACCACCAAGTCAGCGTTGGTCAGATTTCCAGAAGGAAGGCTAGATGGATCCCACTGGCTAGAGAGAACACCAGCATCTTGCAGCTCTTTCTCATAAGCTGAAAGGTTTTCCAGGACGCGGTCGGTGGCAATGTAGTCCACCTGCAACAGGGGCTGAGTATTCAGAATACTTTTGACACGAGAGAACAGCTGTCCGCTTCCTGCAATAGCCTGAGAGAAAAAGAGGAAGGAAAAGGAGAAACCAAGTTGAAACATGAATGTTATCTGAATGATATCCAGAACAACAGAAGCATGCAATCAGCATGCCTTCTAGGAAGGCCTAGAAACACTAGCTACTGTCCTATCCCAGGCCTCCAACTAACCTCTACTATCTTTATCCTATGACTGATCATGTTCTCCACTGCCACATCCAGGCAAGTCTTCAACTCCACAGAATCTAGCAATCCACTGAGAAGAGGGTCATCCTGGAAGTGCATTTTCTCTCGAGTCACAACCTGTTCCAGCTCAGAATGGAGGTTCCCATTCAGTTCCAGACGGCAGATTGCAGCAAGGATATGCTGAAGGCCCTTCTGTTTGGGTGAGGACCCTGTAGCAGCCACTGCAGTGTCTAGTCCAGGAATGACTAGTTTGACCCCATGCACTGCCACCTTAGACTGTAAGTTCTGGATCAGACCTATGGAATAGAAGGGAAAATGAAAGGAAGAGTCAGATTTTAAAAAAAATTTTCTTTTCCTCTTTGCTTCCATTTGCTACACCAGCTGATCAGCACCACAAATTACAGCATTCTCTATCATCAGCCCAGTCACACAGGTACAGTGTATCCTCTGGACCTTCACAAGATTATGTATTGTGCAGTAGTGGCAGGCCCCAAACAAGTAGGCATTGTGGTAAGACAAACTAAGCCACTAAAGTTACCTGGGGTAAGAGGGCAACTCACAGAAAACTTCTGATTGACTTAGGGATCCTGTGGAGGGAAATTTTAAGTTTCTGCAGATATAAAAATACTAAAATGCTTTTTTGTTTTATAAATCAATGGGAAAATAGCTCATCCTGACTAATATCAGGAACAGGATTACAAAATATAAAATATTTTTACCACAGCATATGTAAAAAAACTTTTGGGGACAGTATTTGGACACTGCAGGGAAAACTAAGGAAAAAAAGAAAGGGAAAATCTTTGAAATCTATTGCCAAATTTAAGAATAAGCATGAAGACACTTTACCAATATTGAAAGATGAAATTACTGTCTCAAGATAAAGCAAAATTCATCACTAAAATAAAAACTTTTTAAAAAGTGGGGTTTTTTTCCCTTTGATGAAAAGGCATTTAAAGTGATGAGCTGAGTGGGTGTCTTCCCATCCAAGAGCACTGTATTTAGCTACCAGTTTCACAACAGACTGAACTGCTCCTATTCTACTGTTGTAGCAAACAATTTTTTTTTGGCATGCTTCACTAAATCACTTTCTCTTTTTGGATATGCTCTTGTGCCCACAATCAAAGGGGAACAAACACGTCACCTTACCTATCTTGGCAGTTCACAGGGAAAACCAAAACAAGGTTAAAGACTTGAGGAAGTAAGCTCTCCTGTCAGTGTTTGAAGCAACTAGGTTGGATTTCTCCTAGGTAGGATGTGCCTCTCTACTTGCAGAGAGGGTTGTGCCATCTGACACCATGACTGTTACAGAAGGTAAGATGTCTCTCCTCATGGCTTTTTACTCCTATCTACATCCTAGATATCTCAGGCAGAACTAGTTTCTAGCTTCTAGCACACGTACAGAAACAAGACCCCTGCTGAAGTCTTCTACAGAGACCAACACTCATTTCTTGCGTGTTCCCAAGTAGTATGAACAGCCACTTCTGTCAGGCTGGAGGATTTCCCTAGTGTGACAAGAAACCAATCCCACTCTACCTTTGCAATGCTCCAGATAGGCATTAAGATGGGCACTGGAAGACAAACAGTTACTCTCGGTGTAGGGCACAAAGCAGAATCTTTCCAGGGTGGGAGGGGTCCGTTCCTGTTGTCGGCGTGGTGCCACAGAAGCATGAAGGCCGTTGATCTGAACACCTCCTGCCTTAAGGCTGTCGAGACAGCGGTCCACAACAACTTCAAAAGCTGAAAGTCAGGAAAGAAATATAAGTTTGAAAACATAAGTATTTTGTTCCAGGTGATCTGATGAACAGTGTCAGGCTGTTACATGCTTATAGAGCTGCAGAATAGCTTGGAGACCAAGAGGGCCCCCTAAAGTCCATCCTACTACCTAGGAATTCATCCATTCACCCACATGGCAGTCAAAACAACCAGCAAAACTCAAGCATGAGATGTTACCTTCTATATTGTCCTGGTATTGGCACACCTGCTCTTGATGCAGCACTGGGTCAATGCAGACTGAACGAATCCTGGTGGGTAAGCGCAGACTGCGGCCAGGCTCAGCTAAGATCAGCACATGTAGCAGAGTGTCGAGGAAGGTCACCCAGTTCCCATTCCACAGAACCTTCCCTGCGCTTGCTGCAGAAGAGGAATAGAAAGCCTCACTATCCGGTCATTCAACAGATGCCAGAATGTCACTGCTTATTACAAGCCAAGTCTGGTGTATGTACCCAGCTTCCCCTGTAAACTCCAACAGTCAGTTCTACATTGGAAATAGAGCACTGGAAAAACTATTATCAGAATTCCTGGTTGTTCTCCATTATCACAAAAGTGTAATTACCACACAAAGCACAGTCGGGTGAACTGTTAGCACAAATGGAATTAAGAGATCAAATAGTCATCATTACAATATCTATGCTCATCACGCTTCTTTTGAAAGTAAATTCACCTTCACTGTTGCATTCTAGAACACCCTGGAAAGTTGGTCCATAGTTATATCCACGCAGATGCAGCTCTTGATAAACATCTTCTTTCAGGAGCCCCAACTTTGAGCTCATGTCTACTTGAGTCCGAAAGTCATCTGGCTGGTTATGGAAGTTCTTCAGAGCAGTGTTTTCTAGGAGGGAAATCTTCCCTGATGGGCACAGTAACAAGAATAACAATCATTATCCTTGTTCATAAATCATGGATTTTACTAAGACAGTATATACACTTACACTTCTTTCACTTACCACTCACAGCCAGATTCCCATTTCCTGACACCTCAAAACAGCGGGATGCAGGCATGAGTCTTACTTCCAGCTGTACTGATCCTGCAAGAAACATTGAAGACAGGACGCTACTATCTTCAAGCAGAACTCTCTTTCACTATCTCCAGACTCACAGCTCACAACATGTAATAAAGGTGACTATAACGTGTACTACTTGACTGTAGAAATTCGCTTCTTTGTTCAGTCATGCTGCCCTCTTCTTTATAGTCTCTTTCCTGCATTCCTCCTCACTTTTCCCATGCATTCCTTTCCTCCCACTCCCTTCACCTTCATTACACAGTTTTGGCACAGTTGTGCCAGCACTCCTTACTCACCCTTTTTGGGAAGGATAGTAGCCTGATGAATTGTGACATCTTCAAACATCACAGCCATTTGCTCCATGACCATGCCAAGAGATCGTGCCAGTGTTCGCCAAGCCAGCACCAGGTACCCAGTTGCTGGGTACAGAACTCTGCCATCAATGCAGTGACCAACCAAGTAGTGGTCAGGAGAGTCAGGACTCACATCTGCCAAAGAGTAAAGAGTAGAATAAAAATAATAAAAACACGAATAAAGACATCTTGTCCCCTCGGTGTCTACAACAGGTTCTAGGTGTTTCCCCAACTATCCTGTTTGACAAATGCAGCCCTCAAAACTGCTCTTAGTCTGATTCAGAGTCTGCTCTGTTCATGTTCTTTCATTCCATTTCAGAAATAGATCTGGTTTTTTTTCAATCCAAACCAAACACTAAGCTTCAGACAATGGCTTCAAGGATGCTGCTTTGAGTATCCTTTTCTTAGTTTTACAAAAAAAAAAAGAAAAAACAAAACAACAAACAAAAGAAACACCCCAAAGAGACAAACACACCGATATTGTAGACTGAAGCAGATGCAGAGCCTTTGGAACCTGCTGGAAAGTCTTCAGCTTTTGGAACATCCCAGTCCTGGCTATGGTCCCATTTGATGTATGGAGAAATGAGGGGTGTTCCCACAGGGACAGGGTATTCCACAGATGGGAACAAGTTATTTCCAAAAACGTTTATCCTAGGAAGACAAAAAGAATCAAGATAATGTGGGAAGGGAGGGCAGGGAGAAGGGGGAAAAAAAACTGATCATAATACTTAGAGGTCAGGCAGTAATTGGTCTTGGACTCCATGTCTGAGATGTCTCCAAGAGTACCATGAACACTTACTGCAGCCAAATTTGTAATTTTAATAGTCTACAAGATACAAAGTTTATTTCCAAGAGCTAGTTCCAGACTTCCTAGGCCTTTAAATGGACCTTATCTTTAAAAGGCACCTTCCCAGCCCAAGCAGTCTCTAACCCAAAGGAACACTTCATAAGTGAACATGTAAAGCACAAATGTACACCCCATTTTTTCCCCAGGTTTCTTGAAGGAGTATTTCAATCCTTGTGAAGACATGCATGTTAGAGAAGAGACCTGAATTGCCTTCCATTATCCCACTCACCCTCCTCCCTTAGTCTCCTTACCCAGTTAAATGAATCTTTCCAATCTGTGTTAGGAAGAACTCCAAATTATTTTTGTGCTCTTTCTTCATCAAAGGTAGAATGGTGCAAGTTGGTTTCAAAGTTCTCCTCAAGATAGCCTGGTCAAGTAGAGTCCATAAATCACCAGTGGAAGGTATTACTTATTGTCTCTGAATTTTCCTCTACAGATCTCAAACCATTTATGTTTCTGTGCCAAGAGTTCTGTGCTAGCTGCTAGAACACACACCACTGCCACAGGGAAGAGTACCCTTCCAGCAACCCAAGCTGCTGCACATCTGGTAAAGCAGAACCTACGTAACATTAATGTAATTCTGCTGAAACACAAATATCCCTTTCCCAAGCAGATTGTCAAGTGAAATCAAAAGCTGCATTTAAAGAACTGCAAAGCCACCTTCTCATGTCTCCCACTCGCACACGCTCCTTTCCCAGGAGCAGCACTTTCTAGTCTGAAGCATCTTCCAAGCAAAAGCCACTAGACCAGAAAATGCAGCCTTGAACACCTGACCCAATTTCTATCTTCTCTTCAATTGGATCCCATGATTTTTACATGAGAAACAAAAGGGAGGGAAGAGAAAACCGGAACACTTTCAAACCCAGCTGACGAAATCTTAGTCACTTGCATTAGAGTCCAAAATTGTTCAATGATTTTAACATGAAGTAAATAGTCTCTTTATAGAGAAAAATATCTGCCCAATTTAAAAAGTCTGCTCCAAGTCTTGCTTCAAGTCACTTTCAAAGCATAAATAACATGACATAGTAAATATACACTGGATTGAAACTCAAAAGCATTGTATAACTATTAATATTGATTCGCAAGTAACTATTATTCTCCTTAAGACTTTTCTCCTCTTGCATGTCACAGACCAAATAAAAAAGACCAGTCCTTAAGACTTAAGGGACAGGCATAAGACCACACCACTGATCCTGTGGAACAAGTACATCCTAATGCACCTCGTGTTCTGCATTCTCTGCTATGGAGATAATTCCACAAGGATCAATTCTTATTTGCTGGGGAGAAAGGAGTAATGATCAGATCTCATTAGAGAAAGGAGTTTAGAAGAAAGCAAGCTGCTGTAGTCTCAGACTACTTGGTCTAGGAGAAGAGGGGAAAACACCACTAACCAGCCACCACCCTGTAAGACAGAAACGTCAAACCAAATTCAGTTTACAGATGGTAACAGATTTTGTCATAGAGAAGGTCCGTTAAGTCTTGAATGTCTTGCTCTACCCCAATTTTCACATACAACTCTCCATTAGATCCAAACAATGAAATGCTTTTCTTACTCTTTGTGCAGTTTAGAAAGCTGACTGTCAGCTATCTGAAATGCATAGCAATGAATAAAGCAGTAACGTGAATATCTAGATGAGGAAGTGTAGTGTGTTAGGGATTTTTTAATTTTTTTTTTTTAAATATTAACATATACTGCCCCCTAAAAAACCACAAAGAAACAAACAAAAAAATACATTTTAAAACCAGGAAAGGCTCAAAAGTACTGCTGAAGGAAGAAAGCATTCTCAGAATGTTGGGGGGGGGAGAAAGAGAAAAGCAGCAGTATTCCCTAGTCCTCAGACCCCCAATCTCCTTCTTGCAGCAGCATATCAATATAGTATTGTACTGAAACAATCAAATACAATACCTGTAAAAGAGCATGTGGAGCAATCTCTACTACAACGGCGTTCTCTGGAACATGCTTCAAACCTTCATGGAATAGCACTGGATTCACTAGGTTGTTCACATGGTATTCTGCAGAAGAATTCCTGGCCAGATCACTCTGCCACTGAGATTCAGGGATAGATGTACTGATCCATCGTGCTGAGCGAGGTTTAGGGTGTGGAATGACCTACACACAGACAAAGAAGGGGAACAGGATAGAGAACAATATGAAAAGCAAAAGCAAGCAGCTCCTCCTTTTTGCAGGCCATTTTTCCCAGCTTGATGGCTTAGAACATCCTTCTGCTTGGGGTCAAAGGATTCCAAACATTAGGTCTCACAGAGGTCTATATGCTCTTCAAGAGATTTCCTCTTCCTCCCGAAGAAAGAAGTCCCTTAAGCTCAACATCGCCTACACTCAGCCCAGGTGCCCGAGCACAAGCCCCGTGAGCCCCAGTTTGGCAGCGTTACCTTTCTCAGGGCACGGAGCAGCACAGGGGCAATGGAGGCCATGTAATAGGAGTGGAATGCGACGCCAGCACTGCGAACCTCCTTTGCAAACACACCATCCTGCTTCAGTCTGGCTACAAACTCACTCACGGTGGCCTAAGAAGAGGAATATAAGTGAACTAAGAGAAAAGCACACAATGTTGGGATCTGTATGAGTCCCTGAACTCCACACCCTTCATCACTTGCCACTTAAGGAGGAACCATAGCTGGGATGAGGTTATTGCCCTTCTCAGTCTTATAATTTATCACCCACTACACCCATGGCTATAAGAGATATTTTATTACTAGTTTACTGAGGCACTAACATCACTTCCTCTCAGAGTATTTGAGTGTGTAAGTTTACACAAAGCACCATGTCCCCTCCACCACTTCAATCCAGCTCCCCTTTACCAGCAGCTGAGCTCTAACTGAGCTTCATGCTTTCTTCAAACCCAAACTTCACAGATCCCAATTACAATCCCAGTACACACTGTATCAGTTCCATGCTCACCAGAGGCCCTGAAACAGTGACAGTGTCTTCAGAGTTGTGACAGGCTGGTACCACATTTGGAGGACAGCGCTGTTTACATTCCTCCCATGTCAGACCTGCAGAAGGAAGACCACAGGACAACAGAAGTGTTTCTAGCTCTGCGCTTCATGAGGGGAGGCAACCTTAAACTCCACAGTCACTGTGGTCGATTCAGCATTTTGTAAAATGGAAGGAAAGACATCCTCTCCTCCCTTAAAAGCGATTCTGCAAAAGTCAAGAATATTTATCCTAGAGCTTTAACATGACATTTATCACAGTGATGTTGAACACATGGACAGAAGGCCAAATCTTTGTACCATCCCATTAATGAATGGGATGGAGGTAACAGCCACACTTTCAAAGCTACAGAATTGGTTGTTTTGTCTCATGTTGCTCTTAGTTTCTAGGAGTCAAGCTCACGTGTTCTCTCCCCTGTTCTAGCTTGCATTGCTTGAGAGCCACAAAGTATCTCTAGAAATCAAGAACTCAAGTGGCCTGCTAGCTTAACACATGCAGCATCTGGTCATACATTACATGGATACGAGTCACAGGAAGAACTTGAACTCAACATGAGATTATGAAAAACATATTATATGCAGGACTCCAAGGTAAGTTCTTTGGTAAGACTGTAATTTACTTAGTCCTTTGTAATTTTACTTAAATTAAGAAATCTAGGATTGTAACAAGTGATCTAGCCCAACATACTGCATCATACCAGCAACGGCTTTTCTCCTAAGTGTTTCAGTTTTTAATTGACAACTATGTTCAATAAGAAAGAGAAGAACAACAGTGCTACCAATAATAATTTTACTTTTAAACATGTAAGTCACTATGAAGCCACAACACAAAGAAAAACTACTGCGTCAAAATTTCACCCAACAGTGGGCAAAGCTATATGACTTACAAAAATACTAGGGAAAGCTTATTCAGGAGAAGGCTTATGCCTTAGTGTTATTAGGCCTAAAGTGCTATTAGTAAGTTCCACTAGCCAGTTGCCCACTACATAACAGTGGCTTACTAGCTTCACCTCTCATTACTCTTGCAGACAATCAGAATTTTTTTTTTTTTAATACAAAAGAATATATATATACACACATACACATCTGTGTGTGCATGATAAATATCTACCAAGAGCCAAAAACCCCAGTGCTTTAGATTTTCACCTTTTAAAGGTGACTATTTATCAGGCCTGTCATTGGTCACCCAACAACCAATCCCTCCATTTCCACTTAAATTTTGGATGGATTACCAAAATTCTGATGTATTGCAGGACACAGATCACTACCATTTTATCAACTTAAAATTTAATAACCTGTTCTACATCAGAAGAAAACAAAGAAGAGGCAACAGTGGCCAAAATTTTACAGAAATTATAGTTTCCATCAACACTTTTGAGAGACCAATTTTATCCCAATGCCATACAGAAATCAGATGCACTTTCCTGCACCGCTCTTGTGGTAAGGGGATACCTACCAACAGCAGCCATTCCTCCTGGGGGCAATTTGGCCTCTTTGACGCATCGTCCCCGCCAGTAAGCAGCGAGGATGGCTTCTTCATGACTTAGGGAATTGTCTGCATAGCCACAAGCTAGTTCTCCCACTGAGTGGCCCAAAATCCCATCAGGTTGCAAACCTGCAGCTTTCAGCATATCAATCTGAGCAATCTGCAAGGAAGAGTACAATTACCGATTCCATGCCCGAGTGAGCAGGTGTCAGGCCTCAAAGGCACACAGCACCAGCAAGTACATAACAAAATGGCTTTTTGGTACATTCTTGGCCTCACTGCCTTCTCTCCCACCGCCCCCTCCCCCCCAGCTGTAGCTCCATCCTACTTTCAAAGCAATCTCAAGAATTGTTATGCTGCTCCGCTATTGTTTGGACCCCTCCACAATGTAGCTTTCCACTACACTGGAAAATATTTCCAACAACACGAGGTTGCCAAGAACGTTACTCAGGTCTGTACAAAGTTATTCAGGTTATCCAGGTCTGTACAAAGTAAAAGGCAAGACCAGTTTTCCACATAATTTTAAAAGCTTGTCCTCTAGTTTGTAAAGAAACCATGAATCCCATATTGACACTCAGAATTAAAAAGAGACTTGATTTAGCATCACTTAGTTAATTTGCAGAACAAAATTTCGAAGACACTTAATGGAACGTTGCTCCTTGGCACAAACATTTACATAAAACTTAAAGACATTCCTTAGTCTCTTAAAAGAAGAAACTGCACTACATATACACAGATACACATGCAAATCAGTTCAGATCTATATTAGCCCAAGCATCTTGCAAATGGCAGAGCCTGAAACTGCCAGAGATATTTCTAACAGCTGCCATTTGCTGATTACACAAAACAAGCTTCCATTAACTGGTATAATGTGTTACCAGTCAGAAAGACACATTAGCAGAACATGCTTATGTGGATTGAGTCCATGACCCCCTTCCACTAGCCATTTGAGTCTTGCCTGAATAGCAGCTAGTCCAACAAATGCATGGACAGTGTCATCAAAAGTGTTCTCATCCGCTTGCAGAAGCAGGTCTGAGACCTTCAGGCCTGTGTTCTTCAAAGCCTCATCTGAACGCGATATAGACTGGCGGAACAAATCCAACTTCATAAGGCTGAGGCCCATGCCTTTCCACTGTGTTCCCATGCCTGTAGGAGGGGCATGGAGAAAGTGAGAGTTAGTAACACCCCGTAATAGGATCAGACATCACACACTTGCTCTGGCAGTTAAAGAACTCTAAGAGCAAAACATTGCACCTTTCTAATATCCTCCAAATTAGGCACTGCTTATTATTTTTTCTAGACTTTGCTATCATCAGAAGATAGTTAAGTTGGAAAGTTTTCATAAAATACAGGAAACACAAGTCTCCTAGACACATCGCAGAGTTGCAAAATATCTCCTCGTGCTATAGTGGAAAACAACATTAGAGCACAGAATACAACTGCTCAAGCCCCAGATCTACAGTGGAATGGAGAAGCCTTGACCCAGTACTGCACACCTACCTGAGCAGATGTACCAGAGTGGTCTACCAGATGCTTGAACTTGCTGAACCTCTTTGATGTCGCTCTCAGTGCCAACCAGCATGTAGCCCCTGTAGGGCATGGAGGACACAGGAACTGCAGAGATATCACTGAGCAGGCTTACAAATGGGCTGCATCCTCCATGTTTTCTGCTCTCTTGAATTAGTATTTCCACAGCTTCCTGGGTTCTGCCAGAAATTTGAACCAGTCTTGGCATGTTACAACTCTCCAGAGGCTGGTGTTTGTTCTTATTTGGCCTCAGAATGACATGAGCATTAGCACCTCCAAAGCCAAAGGAGTTGATACTGACAAGGCCACCTTTCACTGGTGTTGGTTTACAAACCACCTCCAAAGTGCCATCTTGTAAGGCAGGAATATCTGGATTTGGGGTACTGAAATGAAGATTTGGAGCCCACAGCCCATGTTCCAGAGAGAGAATGACCTGAAAGGAAAAACAGTGTTCTGTGCTCCACGCTGTCTTATGACAAACATTCTTTTGTTGTTATTGGTTTCCTACAAATGACCATGTAGCATACACTAAAGCAGTTCTCTATGTTTGGATAAAGGGACATTCCATAGAATAGCATTATTGATGTTACTGCAGTAGTACCTGTTCCACCTAGGCAAATTTTAAGTCCATGCAGGAAGTCAGCAGGGAAGAATTAGCATAGTAGCTTTAAGTTTAGCTTCCAGACCCTTTTTTAACTGGAAAGCCAGGCAGTCTTGCTGGAAAAGCAGCCTGGGTACTAAAACTATCATGTCTTCCTTCTCCCCTTTCAGATCCCATCCCTTCATCACATTCCACTTAATCCCTCCCCAGTCACACACAATCACAAATGCTCTTCCTTATCACAACGAAGTACTTCTATTTCTGCCTTGCTGCAAAAGAATGAAACTGGACCACTGGTAAAGGAATTTGCTTGCTGCTTTACACTCATTTGTTGTCTTCTCAATCCAAAAAAGCAAGAACAGCAGACTGGTCAGAACAGGCAGAGCAAAAGGGAGGTACAGAAACAGCGTAAGGAACAGACTATCTGTGCCAAAAAAGCAAGAGCTCTGTTCTCTCATCAGCATCTCTACATACAGCCCATGACACCAAGCCCACACTCCTCTGTGGCACAAGCCCAGCAAGTCACAAACTGCAAGGCAAGCTCCAAACACTCTGTGCTCTGTATATTTGGCAGTTCCTTCATCACCCCAAAATGGTCAGAGAAAGAGATTCTGGTTTGGGAACTGTTCTTCCAAGTTGACTATCAGACATGGCAGTTTACCTGGGAGAAAACCAGAATAAATATACGATTTCAACTCCAGTCAACGTGGTTAAAGCTGCTGTCTAAGTGTTTTCATGCATACTGTCCTATACTTACAATCCTATGCACTTTGAACTTGCTGTGGCTTTACACTGCACACATATTTTTACTCTTAAATCTGCCGTGGTTTCTACATAAGTTTGAATGTACAGTACAGTGAGTGTAGTTCAAAGGTGCAGGTGAGTTTTGACTAAAGTGGCCTCGGCAAGCCCTAGTTTCATTCCTACCTATCCATACAATTAATGGATTCTCTTCAAGTCTGAAATCAGATACTTTCAAGATCTATTTTCCTGACATTTCACATAGGAGCATTTTATGGAATTCTAGAAGAAAACATTTAAAGAAACTGTAGACTTCCCAAGACAGTTACTGTTTAAGAGACACTGGGCTTGTGGTGTAGCGGTGAGGGAAACAGTGCCTCAAACTTATCCTGTCCTGAGAGATCACAGGAACACACTAAACAAACTGCTTATAACATACAACAGTATGGATTGAGAAGTTTATTTTATGACTCAGTTATCATTCCTTCTATGAAGAATGTGTCAGTTAGAGACAAAGGTGCTAAAAAAAAAAAAAAGTAAACTTCCCTCTACAGACAGACAGACACTGCTGTCTCCATGATTTGCAGATGAGGCTATTCACAGGAAGTTGTACGTATTCAGGTCACAGTAACCACTTTGAAGAGCCTAAAATTGTAGCAGTGGCAGTGTACGTGACTTCAGTTTGCGTGGTTCTATGGTAATAGGCTTACAAACAAGTGTGAACATTAGCTAGCTCTCTGCTAAGCAGTTTAGCAGCCAGAGCCAATAGATGACTGTCTGCCTAGAGCAGTAGATAGCAGGCTCGTTGCTAAGACAGACAGTTATTCAAGCTGGTAGCCTCATCCCAAAGAACTCACCTGGCTTCATGCCAACCTAAGAGAGAAGAGGAAGAAATGATACAACCCCAACAAAAAGCCAGAAGGATCAGCTGCTCTTTTGGCACTGAAAGCCCACACTGCCTCTCATCTGTGGTCACTGTCAACTACTCCAAACATCGAAAGCTCTCCACTTGTATGTGCCTCAAACCTAAATGACTTACAGCAGAGTTCTGTTGGAAGGTCCAGCGTAAGGATCAATGAATGATAAATAAGGATTAACAAAGGGATCCCAAAGCCTTTATACTGAGCAGAGTTATGCTCCTGTAGAATTCAGTAGGAAGGGGGAACTGAAGCGTGTGTGCACACAGTAGAGGGCCACCTGGGCATTCGTGGTTTGCAGAATAGCCACCTGAGCTTTTGCAAGCATTGGCATGTGGAGCAAGTAGTTATTAAGAAACATCCAAGTTCTTATCATCACAAGTGAAGATTTTATCCTGAATCACTGCAAACTTTCCATAAAACAAAAAAAACCTTTAAACCCGTCACACTGTTGTGTTCCCCATTTTCCCATATTTTCTTTCTCAAGCCCCCTGTTACCTTGGCTAATGCCGCAAGCCCAGAGGCAGGCTCTGGATGACCCATGTTTGACTTGGTTGATCCAATCAACAATGGCTTCCTCTCACATTGACAGAAGACATTTACAATGCCATTTACTTCCTGTGGATCTCCAACCTAGTATGAAGAGAATCAGAATGGCTATTAGCTAGCACTTCCAAAACATACCACAAAAGAGAAATTGGAAAGATTATGGTGTTTGGGTAAAAACCAGAAGTGGTGAAACAGAACATATTCTACTAACTGGCAGAAGGGAAAAAGATTTCACTTTGGGAAAACAACGAATAATTAAATGGTAAAGTGTGGCAAGTGATGCAAGGGAAGAAAACATGGCAAACCCAAAAGGGCCATGCTGACCTTGGTGCCTGTCCCATGAGCTTCAACATACTCCACTTCTTCAGGTTTGACACCGCATTCCATGTACAAAGACCTGACCAACTGCTGCTGCATCTCTCCAGATGGGAATGTCACACCTAGGATCAAAATAGCTGTCAATTCCTCTTTCTATCAGGTACTTCCTGTAATGATTTTAGCACCCTTTCAATTGCTTGGGACTATCACATCCAAAAAAATCCCCCAAAACCCAACTATAAAGACTTTTTCAGAATTTATATCATGTCCTTAACACCAAACACAATAAGCCTCTCAAGCTCTTTGTAAGAAGAGCAGAGAAGCCAGAAATAAGCCTAAAGCAATGGCTTAGACTAGGGTGGAAAGACACTGATTAACAGAATACTAGGAGATGTGTAGATTGAGCAAAACATGTGAAATTTAGTGTCTCCATAACTGGAGAGCAGGAGAAGTTGGACAACAGTAGGACAAGAGCTGTACAGTCATAACACTACCTAAATTTCTACCATCAGTGCAGAAGTTACTGCAGAGATGTCCTGAGGAAGGCTAAACTAGCAAGAGAACATTGATGTTACTTCATACAGTAGAAACCACCACTTCTCTCCTTCAACTTCTTTACAAAATAGGGCCCTGAACTTCGCATTATCAAAACAGAAAAAGAAAAATCTGCACAAACACTAAAAAACATTTACACACCTAAAGAAGAACCCTACAACTGCCCATTTTTGATGACAAAGACTCACGACTGAACAGTTCTCTTGGTATCTCACTTTTCAGCAGCTCAAGACCTACCTTGCTCCTTAAAGCCATCAGTGTTAATTCCAGCATTTACTATTGTGGCATAGATCCGCTTAGCCATAGATCTCTTGGTCAAAAGAACAACGACAGCAGCTTCAGAGCGACAATATCCATTTCCTGAGAGCAGAGAGAGAAGAATGAGTCTCTAAGTCTGCTCTGCTTTGTAAAATGTTGCAAAACACTACTGCAGTAAGATTATCTCATTCCTGAGCTACCGCTTACAATAGACTCCTTTGAGAATATGACATATCTATTTCTTTTTAAAAAAAAAAATTCCTGTCCTAGAAAAAAGGCACAGTGCTCATCACAAATGGTAATAGAAAGTTTCCATCAAGAGACAGCTATTTTTTCTCCCCAGTGGCAGAGGAATGAACCATGCAGTGTCAGTTTCTTCCCCACATGCAACACAGATCAGGCCCAGGGTATGTCCCAAACAGTGCACCTCAGAACAACTACGAGGCCAGCTCCTTGCTGTACCGAAAGAATAGTTGCTCATAGACTCCACAATAAGTTTCTCTCATGCAATGTGACAAGCTTGTGTACTAATGCCTTACCTGAAACATCAAAAGCCTTGCAGGCACCATCAGGACTAAGCATACCCAGTTTCATGAACTGCACAGATGTGTTGGGTTTCAGCAGGAGGTTGACCCCTCCTACTAGGGCTGCACTGCACTGTCCATGATGAATTGCCTTAAAAGCGTTTTCCAGAGCGACGAGACTAGAGGAGCAGGCTGTGTCAATAGTTAAGCTTGGTCCTTAAGGAACACAAAAGGGAAAATAAAAACCCTTAATTTTCTAGATTGTTCTCCAAAGACTACAGGATGTAATCACAAGAGAAACATATTAAAATGAAGTTAAGTAAGAGTTGCTTCAGAATATAACAGGTACACTTGATGCAATGGGAGACAAGAACCACCATCTCTGCCTGCTTACTAGGTAATGCATGAGAAAGGTGGGAAAAAATTATGAACAGATTGGCCTTAAGGGTATTTTTTAAAATTCTGTCTCTCCATCAAAAAGAGATTATAGGTTCACAGGCAGGTCTCATCTAATTCCCCATTCTAACAATAGAATGCTCTTCCTGGTGCTACCCTTGCCACTATCTCTGTTCTCTGCTGCTCTGCAAATCAATTCCCATCCCTCCACTCTCTTCAAAACCACACATGGATTGAGTCACGTCTATGCCTTCAATCACATCATTCTGGTGGCTCTCCTACTTCTTCCACTTTACTCAAAAGGAGTCAACTGGTACAGTCAATTTGTCTCTGGGCTATCTGACTTCTACATAGCTTGATACCAAATAGCAGTCTAAAGGCCAGAAAGGACCTAGATCTTTTTTATGAAGGCCTCCTGACATGACCATCTTTCAGGTGAACACCAGCTATGCCCAGCAGCAGTAGCTGAGTTACAAGGTCTTACAATGAGTCTTATCTTAAAGATACAATATATTTTTTACTTCTCATAGGCCTCCTTGCAACAGTTACATGCTACTTTCTCTTTCCAAAAGGGGACTACGCCATCATAACCATCCCACTCCTCTACAGCAACTGTGGTACAATCACGCTGAAATTGCAATTGCTGATCAGCATCAACAGGTTTGGGGGGCACTAACCTGTAAAGTCAAAGAAATAGGAAATCCTGTTGGCAAGCATAGCACGCTGGCAGCCAGTCATACTGTATCCCAAAAGCTCTTCTGGATCTTGGCTAAGGGCTTCGGCAGCTTCTGACCCACTGGCACCAATCCATACACCTGTGTCTGTGCCACGGAGGGTGGCCGGATTAATACCTATGGGGACATCGGAAGGTAGATTACAGTAAACAAACTTATAATGAGGGGCAAACTGGGGAGATATCAGGTACACTGGCACCAGTTCACCAAATACTATTTATTGGCCTTTTCGAGCAGGCCAGCAGTATTGTTCCCTACCTTTAGTAACTTTTCACCTGTTTCAACTGCAGACCTTACAAGTCTTACTTGAGTCCATCAGAACTTCGGTATTGGCTTTTGATCAGAACATATTGTACCCTGACAAAGCTTTTCAGCCCAGTCGGGCATTGCCAGAATCTTGTGTAAAAAAAGTGTATAGACTATGAAAGGCAAAATGCTGACGGAGAGAAGCTAAGGGCCGACTTCCAATACAGAGAAAAGGAGCGGAATGAAGGGGAGAAAAATCACAGCACTTGGAATGTCATGTGAGCACATCAATATCTATCTCTAGCCACACACAACACCCAGATCTGGAGTACACGACAGAAATGAAAATTCTTAAGGACAAAAAAAGCCAATAACCAGAACAAGAAACAACTTTGCTTAAAAAAACACATAGCAAGCTCAACTGGCAGAAATCTCTATTGCTTCTTCTCTGTACTTCAGGAGTCCTGAAGACAAACAGAATATTCAATCTCCAGACTGAGGCTCAGCAGCAGAGGAGCAAGAGTTAATTTTAATAAGTCATACAATCATAGGATGTCAAGGGTTGGAAAGGACCTTAAAGATCACCTAGTCTCAACCCCCCCCTGCTATGGGCAGGGACACCTCCCACTAGATCAGGTTGCTCAAGGCCTTATCCAACCTGGCTTTGAACACTGCCAGGGTTGGGGCATCCATAACCTCCCTGGACAACTTGTTCCAGTATCTCACCACCCTCACAGGAAAGAATTTCTTCCTGATATATAATCTAAATTCCCCCTCTTTCAATTTGTACCCATCACTAGTCAGTACTAGTGAGGTGGTTCCAACTTTTCCCCCCATGTGCTTCTTATGTTCTGATGTGAAACTGATTAACAGGAAGAATAAACTTCTTGGCTCTGTAGATAAGTAACTCAAAAGCTCTTCTATTACCGCCAGTGTTTTGAGAGAGGCTGCTCTTTCTGAAAGCACACTTCCTGGGAAAACCTTCTAAAGAAAAAGATGAACCTGCCCAATGGACAGGAATACATCAGGCCATCTTCATTCTTTTAGACTATGGATGTGAATTCTAACCAAGTAACCTTCCTTTTGCATTACAAATTCGCCTCTTACAAAGGAATTCTTATGGAATACTAGGGTAGAGCAAAACACAGAAAAGCTCTAGAACTGCTGACTGTTTAAGTGATTCTGTCATACTGGTTGTATCATATGATGCTGGTACAGATTTGCTGGCAGTCAGCACAGATTTCCTGGTTTGCATTCCAGAGAAAACAGCTTTGTTCTATCCCCCGTACTAGGTCATTGGTCTCCTCTCTAATGTGATGGCTTTCTCATGTTAAGAGTTTTCATCACACAGCTGCATGTCTACACCTGTTGCACAGAGAAAATAAAGCATAATTCTCCCTCTTCAGTCATTCATCTGCTCACCTCCATCCAAAATAGCTTCATACGAAACTTCCAACAGCAAGCGAAGTTGAGGATCCATTGTATGAGCTTGTTTGGGATGAACCCCAAAAAAAGATGCATCAAATTTGCTTATGTCCTTGAGCTTTCCATTTCTCTTGGGCAGTCCATAAATTCCTGAGAAGAAAAATTCAACACTGAGTCACAGAATACAGCTGAGAGACAGTTACGGAATGACCACAGTTGATTCCTGATTACACAAGAAGCCTCACTGCCCTGTGCAGTAGCCAGAGTGCTGCATGAGCATCTACTGACCCACCTCATCTGGAAATGAGAATCCTGCATTAACAAAACCAATTGTAATTTTTAAGACTCTCCTGGATATAGCACCAAAAGACATCTACCTAGTTTAAACACTTTTGCTTTGGCAAGTTGTACCAAGTACATATAGTGTTCAAATCAGTGGTTCCAGTTGGTCCCCAGCTAGAGGAAAAACAAAAGCTGTTTTTGACTTCTGCAAATCACTAGCTTGAATTGGGTAGACATGTGCCTAACACTTCAAAATGACAAATCACACAAAACAGAACATTGTGAAAAGTCATAAATCACAGCACTGGAGCCCCTGTGCTACTTCTGAAACCAGAAAAATGTCAGAGTCATCTTACTGTCACAGTTACCGACAGCAGGTATAGGATTCATGTTGCCTAGCTGCTCTGCCAAGAGTTGCCTAGCTGCTCTTTTCTTTGAAAGTAAGCTACACAGAATTTATAAGGTACTACTGCATGGGACGTGACATTATAAAACGGATTACGAGAGACCTTCACAAAAGTGTTCTGTTCTTGAATTTCTTGATGATATATCAGAAGTTAGTTCAGCTCTGGCAGGGTTTTGCATCTCACAAATCCTTTCTTTTCATAGGATAATTCCTCTAAAACACTCGGAACCCAAGGTTCCCAAAGGAGGGACAACAAGCACTCACCTGGTTTCCACCTCCGATCATCCTCCGTGACCATATCAACTCCATTAAGCAGGTTCTCCCAAAACTCTTGCAAGTTCTCAGATTCTGGCAGCTTTCCTGCTATGCCTGCAATCACCACGTCCTCCATCGCTTAACTTCTCCCTGTTGCTGAGGTGCATAAAGCAGTAAGACTAGTAGGATTTCACACAGAGGAAAGTATATGTGTCTAATGTTCCTAACATGTTGTGACAAACAAGTGTATTTGCAGGAGAAACACCCACACATGAACAGCCTATGGAGTCTCTACTATTAAAAAAAAAAAAAAAAATTATATCCCGACTAATCAAACAGACCGTAAGATCCACGAGGTTGACAAGGATGAGAAGACTGATCCTGAAGGAACATCAGGCTCTTTGAGAACCACCAGCTTCTACATGACAACCAGAAAATGAGTAAGTCTACCTCTACTAAACGCAGAGCCTCTATGAAGTCAGCAGAGAAGAAAGATTAACATGCTGGAGCAGAGGTGGGTGGAGAAATTATGAAATGTACATAATAAAATACATAATTACAAGGCAAACCTAACAGGTAGCAAAACAAGTTCTACAATCATACCAAAGGTAAATGCTAACTTAAGTATCAATAATCAAAAGATCTGTTGGAGGGGGAAAAAGAAACTCCAGACGAACAAAAATAAAAAATCCCACAGAACCAACTCCCAAAAATAAACAACACAACCTTAAACAACTGCCCCAAAAAACACCAAGCAAACAAAAAAACCATCAAAAACAAACAAAAAAGCCCAGAAAAAACCCCAATCCAACCAACTAAAAAGAAAAAGCCCACACAGAGAGGAGAAAACCCAACACAGAGCACAAAGACTACAGCACAATTTAGCATAATTTTAAATGCCCAAATCAAAGAAGTAGGTTTACATCTAAAGAGTTTGCTAATTGGATGCTGCACTGCCATACTGCACATTTAGAGGACTGGGAATGTGGCACTGACTACGTATGACAGAGGGTGGTGCTTTAAGTTATGGCTTGGCAGAACAGATCTGGATTACAGATGGGATGAAAAAGCTCAGCTGCTGGCCCAAGAAATTTGCATACAAAGACCCTAATCTCAAACACCACAAAAGAGCATCTCTCTGAGAACCACCAGCTTCTACATGACAACCAGAAAATGACATAACACAGCATGGCAGGGCACCTATACCAGACCACAACACCAAATGATAGCTCATATATTACACTCCATTATTTTCTATTACACTAAAAATATATTAACAGCTAAGCAGAGAGAAGGTAAGTTAACCTGATGTTTCAGTTAAATTCAAATTACAATTTAAGATCCTAAGTAGATAAATTAAAGTAGGAGAGGGAAGGGGAAAATACCCATATACATAGGGGAGGGGTTTAATATAAAAATAAATAAAAGTGTTGCTGCAGGAACCAAAGAGGTAGTAAGCATTCACAGTACCTCCTTAAATAATCCTTCTGGTAAGTAGAGGTCAAATATTCTTTAATGTGTAGGATTTTAAACAAGTAACAACCACAAAGAAAACTAGGTATTTAAACACCTACAAGTCTGTCTTAACTTTGAAAGAAAAAGTTTGCTTATGAGAGAGCCGAAGTTTGACTTCCATGAGGTATTATGCTCCGTGGTGCCATGTAGGCACTTTGCTTAAGTGGTGCTGGGGCTTGATCATCTTCTCCAAAATACAGCACTAATGGGTACTCTCTGTTGAGCACTTCGCAACTGTTTTTCCAACCCAAGATGTTTCATTTGGGCATTGTTTTGCAGCCTCTTCCAGGAGTTCCTAATGCTTTTCAGCAAGAAATGGGCCTCTCTTCCATCCACACATTACATTGCTCAGGAAACGGTAATGCCTTCTCGTAGCTGGAAGAGACCACTGGGGTGTGCGGAAGGAAAGCAAAGCACTGCTCAGCTGAGCCCTGGCTCTGCCAGAATACAACACCACAGAGGTTGCCTGATTTCCTTCACCCTTCTTCTTTCCTTCAGCAATTATCTTGATTCAGATCTGTGGAGTAACTGTGGAATTATGCAACACCTAACACTGAGGCAGAAGGGATGGTTACCTCACCCAGTCCATTCCTTCTGGGAGCAGAAACAGAAGTGCTTGCAAAAGGACATCTGGGATTTCTAGGTCCTGTGCTAAACACCCAAACGACAGAAGGTCCATTCCACTCTGGTTGTTTGTTTAAAAAGGGAAACACTAAGGGTCAAATTGAGCAAGGCCCTTACTGAGAAACTAGTCCCCAAAACTTAAGTTGGTAGTAACATGCTCAGTCCACTTTGTGCTGAAGAGAAGCACCACTCATAAAACTAGTAAGTCAGTTGTATTGCTGGCCTTACCACTGTACCTGTAAAACCCAATCAAGCGCAATAACTCTGCTACACATTCAGAATTTCTGTGCTGGGGGCAGGGAACAAACAGATCTCATGCACAAAGCAATTCAAGCTTAAGACAAGAAATATACAGGATGATAATTTAATTACAATTAAATTTTATACCTCAGCTCTTTGGGTGATGATCTCTAAGGAGATAAATATAATTTCTATTTCAGGGGACTGAGAGAACACTTCTGGGATTGTTACTTCTCATCCCACATCTTTTCCTCAAGTATCAGAAAAACTCCATCCAGGTACGGCCAATTGACAAAATGTTCCTCTGAGACAGTGAAGTAATAGAATTCATAAGCAAAACAATTTTGGCCAACATGTTATGAATGTAGTTGTGCAAGACTGTGTCAAAGGTGGATAAAAAGATGCTGCAGTAATCAAAATCAGAAGAACAAGAGCCAAGAAGTTAATTTTAGCAGGGTGAATGGGTAAGAAGAGCCACAACTTAAAGATTTTAACACACAAAGAACCAGAAACATTTACACTTGCCACAAAGAGCTCCAAAAGTGTACATCTAAGATAAGATACAAAGTACAGATTTAGTAGCAGACAGAAGGGATGATCTGCTGTTGGAAAACAAGAGTGGTAAGAAGAAAAATCATGAATATTAAGTCATCTCTGATTAAACAGTTATTAAAATAGCTGTTATAGCTACCAACAATGTCTTTGGTCTTCCTTGACAGATAATAAGCAACTAAACCAATTTAAAGTTGATTGCCATTGACCTGAAATGGTGTGTTGTATTGTTTTACTATATTAGAGACTTTTGCTGTAGAGCATTTTTAGACTATACACAGTAACACACTACATAGACAGATTTTCAAGCATAGGGCATATCACAGATTAAGAAAGCAAATTATTTCTACAGCTGTTTTAAAAAAGATTAGACTGCAGCAAACATACAGAACAGACTGCTCCTGCTACCTTGGATGAGCAAGGTGTTCAAAAGCAACAGATTAAAACAGGAGACAAAGAAGACACAAAGGGACAAACAGGAGTCGCCTATTTCTTAAGGTTGTATTTTGTTGAATCCAACCAGACATCTAACATCCTTTTTCCTCAGTTTATCCCTGCTTTTGCTTAAATTGAGTTCTGTGAATTCTCCTCAGACAGCTAGTATTTTTAACTGAGGGGAGAGAAGCAAACACACACCACAACCCACCCCACCGCCAAAATATCAGTCCAGGAGACACCTCAGTAAAGCATAAGCTACCATCTCACTGGATTTACACAATCTTTTTTAGCAATTATATTATGTTACTGACTCATTCGGTTTGTGACTGGTAATAACTAACAATCCCTTTTGGTATTACTGACTAGTAACAACTTTCATCACTTTATACCTGTGCTCTGGTCTACCTCCCACATTAGCCATTTGACAAGGTTGGTTTGTTTATTGGTGCCAGTTCCTTTCTCCAATCATGTTATACCTTCTTAATCTGGTTCTCTATGTATTGGATAACTATTGGCATCATGTTATCATAATACTATTATCAAAGCTACTCTTAAGTTGAAATACTGTTCTCTATTGCATTTAAAACATTTGGTTTTCAGTCCCTTCCTAATTCAGCACCAAAATATCAATCAAAAAAAGTATTAATCAGGGTTTTCCACCGTGCCTGGCAGCTATACAACTTTTTAATAATAATTTTATCTACTGTTTCCCTACAGAAATAACTGTGTGACCATTAAGATTGCAAGCTTATAAGAAAATGAGAACAAAAGACAAAGAAAATAAAAAAAGTGAAGGTAAAATCTAATTTCTTCCTGCTCATACCTGACTTGCCAACCACAAAAGAGAACCTATTCTGCTGCAACTTGTTCACGTAGGATTTGGTGAGGAAAGGAAGGGGAGAGGAAGGGAAGAAACAGCTTTTTGCAAAGAAACAACAAATAAACCCCTGATGCACACAGTTCCTTTTCCTAAACAGGAGCACAATATTTATTTCACTGTTATTTCGATGGCTGTCATCACGGTGGGATAGAATCCTTAAAGCCAGCTCAACTACTGTTTCTAGACAGTCCAAATCTTCCTCTTTTTTGGAGCTCCCATTATTGTAAAATTAAACACTCATGACTCCTTCACAGCTTTCTTCAGCACAGATATTGACAAAAGGATTGCTTGCTTTGTTTCTCAGTATGATTACATCATAACCCTGGTTTCCTCATCTCTATAATGTCTAAAATTTGTAATAAAAACTGTCCTTACATAGGAACATTACAGCTCTTTACAAGTGAAGAAACCCTTCTCAAAATAGAGGCAAACACAGTTTGGTTTTCATTTTTTGAAAGCATTTGGCTACTATCACTCTGTGTGCTACAGCGTCAATTTAACGAAGACCTTTCAAATGCCTCTTTCTGTTTCAATGCTGTATTTGTCCTGTCGACCACAAGACAAATGAAAACTGGTAGTGTGCATTCATATTTAAAATGCTACTACTTAGTGGGAAACACAATATGGTTCGAAGCTGTTATTGGAGAAAAGTTAATTTTGCTTATACAATCAACACAGCTTGGCTGATTCCCAAGCATGATGGGGAATCATTTAAACAAAAATGATTTGTTTAAAAAATCTTAGTCCCACGTCTGCAAAACATCTGTTCATAACTGCCCTCACCCTCCGAATTCACCTACTAAATGCAGCCTCTCACAATGTTATTTTCACTTTGTTTCAAGAAGGGTAGAGGCTTCAGGAAAAGGTGCTCTTTGGCTTGAGGTTTTTTTCTCCCGTTTTTTAAGACAAGACACGCTCCCAACGGTGGTCTGATGGAGCATGCAAGTTCAGTTACACAGCCTTAATACACCTGTCTATATTTAAGCATCCAAATACAGCTTTGCTAGGAAAATATGCATTCAGTATCTCAAAGGGCCCTATGACAGGAAGGAATGTGGAATAAAAACCAAACAGGTGCAAAAACAGCAGAAGAGAAAAGACGATCATCACGTTCCTGACAGAATCACATCATCAAATCCATACCGCTGTATGATCATCGAGTTATTTCCCGTGGGTGGCTGGTTTAAAACGAAGTGGTAAAAAATAGTTTAGCATTATCCGCGGCACCTTTTTTGCGACAGATTCCCAGTACCTACTGACGAGCGTCCTTTCGCAATACCGAACGCCGACCTCCTCCCGACCTCCTCCCGTGCGAGCGAGCTCAGCCTGCCACGGCCGAGCCTTCGCGGAGAACGAAGCGCCGCCGCCGCGCGGCCCGTGCAGCCCCGACGCCCGCTCGGGGCAGCGCCGGGCTCGGGCTGCGGCAGCGCGGGGTCGGGGCGGCCCAGCCCCGCGGCAGGCGCGGCCCCTCGCGCTGCCGCCGGGTGCGCACGAGGGCTGCGGGGCTCGGCTGCGTCCCCGATCCCGCCCGGCCCGGCGGCGAAGGGTCTCGGCGGCGGCGGCGGCGGCACGGTCCCCGCCCGCCGCCAAGATGGCCGAGCGCCAGCCCCACAATGCAGCCACCTCGCCGGGCGGGCGGAGCGGGAGGCTGCAGCGCGGTACCGGCCACTGAGCCGGGGGACTCCCCTCGGCACGGCCGCGCTGGGTCCCGAGAAAGCGGCCGGCAGCAACAGGGCGCGGCGACCCTGGGGCGGGAAACAGAACCTTCCGGTCGCGCGGACCGAGCCCGCGGACCCCAGCCGAGCCCGCGGACCCTCATCGCCCGCCCGGCGTCGGGGGCAAGATGGAGCCTTCCCGGCGCACCCGCCGGGCGCGGCGGCCCGCGGAGGCGGGAGCAGAGGCTGCCGCTTTCCCGACCGCACCGCCGACCGTCCCACCAGTACCTGCACAGGGGCGGAAGGCTTCGTGTCGGTAAGACTCTGGCGTCAGCTCAGCGCGGGGTCGGGATGCTGCGGGGCGGGCTCTGCGGGCGGACGCTGCGGCGGCCGGTGCCGAGCTGCGCACGGCCGATACTCCGCGCTCTCCTCACTGTCTCCCTCTAGCTCCCACCGCTATTTAAGCAGTCGCCACCTCCGGCGGCCACGCCACATGGGCTGACAGTTTACTCCTCGCCGCAGTCCAATGAGAGCTGGGGCAGGGCCGCCCCGAGTCGGACCCGGGGTGATGCCAACCCCTGCCCGCCGGAGTCGCTCCACGGGAGGAGGGGGCCCTGACCAGTTCTCGGGTCGGACACAGGCGGGTCCCCGTGCCCACGGCACCGGGCCAAGCTGTCGCGCCCCGCCCCGCACACTGGAGGCCGTGGAAGGCTGGGCGCTGCGGGGGTGCCTGGCTTCGGGCCGGGCTGGCCGGGGACGAGGCAGCGCCGACCCACCGTGGGCGCGGAGCTCTTCGTGTCCCTCTCCCACCTCCCCGCGGGTGTGCACACTGTGGCGGGCGTACGGCCGCGCCGGCACCGTGGCTCGGCGATTGATGCGGAGGCTCGGCGGGCGCCGGTCCAAGCGCGTCCGGATCGCGCAGCGCCCGCACAAAGGGACGCGGGGCCGGACGCGCAATCTCGGGCCGGCACCCAATGCGGGGGCGGGGGCGCGGGGGCGGGGGCGCGGCCCTGCCAATCGCGGCGCCCGCGCGGCGTTGCTATAGGCGATAAGGCGATGTGGTGACGGCGGAGGGGCGTTCGGGGCCGCCGGCAGAGCGAGCAGCGCCCGCTGCTCTCCGGCGGCGGCGGTCGTTCACCCCAGCGGAGCGCGGTGCCGGGGTTACCACAGGGCAGCCGGCACGCCGGCCAGGGATGCTCTGCCCCGTGCCCGGGACCGCCGCGCGGCCCTCACTGGCGGCAGCAGAGCGGGTCCGGAGGCGGCGGGCGTGCCAGGGGCTCCCTCCTCGCCGTGCCCCGGTACGCCCCTCTTCGAAGCACCGACGGAACGGGGCGGATCTCTCGGCGTGCAGACACCTTTCATCTACTTCCCCAGTAACTTACACACCTTCAATTAAAGCCAAAGAGTCAACGAATTTCAGTTTTCTTCTTTATTGCCTACGACTCCAACACAAAAATATCCTTCCTGCCTTTCGGTCAGCAAACACGGGCCCGAGCGCCGAGACGCCGAAAGCCCCCGCCTCACCCCTGGTCCCGGGGAGACCCGGCTCCGGGCACAGGCCCCGCTCCCAGTGGCGCCTGCGCTGCCACTTGGCAATACAGCTCCATTCCGACCTTCTCGGGGCAGACCTTTTGCCTTTATCCATATATTCCTCAGCATAACAGTTTTTTAGCCCTTCGATAAGAAAAATCAATAATTTACTCTTTTACCTTTTCAGTATTCTATGACCAGCCTGAATTCTCTTTTTTGTAGGCACTCCTTTCTTTGTATCCACAGTAGTACCTTGTTTCCACTCTTCTCATCTGGTTCTTAAGAATCAATGCCCAATTTATTAAATATTTTGATCATAATATATGAGAGTTTTCCTGCTGTATTCAGTACACCCTTAGCACAACCTCCCCGTGCAGGATCCAAGCAATATGGTCATGTTATTTATTATTATGCATACTTTGTTAATTTTCACCGTACAGGGTATGTTCTTACAGTTACTCTGAAACAAACGTACAGTGATTTAACTGCTTTTTTTTTTCTATCACAAGTAAAATAAAATTAAACACCCAAGAGCTATCATCTTCACTTACCTACAGTTGACTTAAGGAAACCTGTTTCTCAGGGAAACGGAATATATTAAAGCTGCATTTCTGGCAAGAGGTCTGCAGGACCAGGCATGCCAGGTGACTTACTGGGGTCAGGGGAAGGGGGACACACCACCAACCACAAAAAAAAAAAAAACACAAAAAAAAAGAAAAAAAAACCCACTCAGAAAACCCTCAAACAAGTGAACAAACAAAAAAACCCATAGAAACCTGCATAGAAACCTATACAAAAGCATTTCTGAAGTCTGCAGCCCATGAGCTTATATCCATGATGTAAGGAATAAAGAGTAGTGTTTTCCAGGTTTACATGCAGTGTTACAAAGATTAAGGAACAAACTGCTCTTTTACACTGCTTTTAACACCTGTAAATGCACAGAATCTCATACAACTGAACTATTGTGCATCTCCACAGTTATTAAACATGAAAATAAAAATAATTTTTCAGGCTAATCTACAGTTATTAAAAACTTCAGAATTTACACAATGAGTTCTAGAAATAACCAGTGAGTGCTTTAACTGGTGTGATCGGGGCCAAAATTCCTGTACTTGTTAGAAACCACTATGCTTTGAGCTACAGAAAGAGCTTATTCAGGGCCTGGTTCAAGGGAATGCATCATGTCGTTCTGGCTCATGAACAATGTTGAATCTAATGACAGGATTTTCGAGTAACAAAAAGATTTAGAAAGACGCTCACAAGGTCTCTCAGGCCTCATATTGGCTTGGTAACATCTCATGAAATTTATTGCAGATTTAGCATCTGATCATAATATCACAGCACCTTTGCACTAAAGCAAAACATTTTCAGCAGGTACTAGAAAACAATTATTCAAATTCTCAAACTGATTTCTACCACTTTGTCAGATGCCGAGGAGAGCACCTGTTTGCAAGAGTACCAGAGAAGCATTTCTAAAAAGAAAAGCGCTACAGAAAAAAAAGACATTCATGGGTAAGAGGCTCTCTCCCTGTTTAGATTTTATATGTTTAGCAGCAACTGAGAAGTATTATTCACTTCAGTGATACCACTCACAGACTCAAAGAACCTCTTACGTTGGAAGGTACCTCGTGAGATTACCTAGTCCAAGCCCTCAGCTCCAGGGTCATCTGGAACAGGCTGTCCAGGACCACATCTAGTTGGGTTTTGATTATCTCCATAGACAGAGACTCCATAAAAAAAGTTTTTTATTGAATTCTTCAAGTGTATTTCCTTTACGTAAAGTTCATCGCTGTAATATCCCAAGACAGCTCAGCATTACGGAAATGTTACAAAAATACATTCATTACTTGTTTCAATGTCCTGGTGTGTTCATTGCTACAGAGATATCCTTTCTTACATCCCAGCTAACTCAAGTTTCTTTTAGTTTTATGTTTTAAGACTTATATCTTACAGTGCAACTGGTATGATTCTGAGGGTATGATTCTAACTCATTAGCAGTGTTTTTCACTGCTTTAAAGTCCATGCAATCTCACGTCAGGGAAAAATATAATTACTAGTGTGACAATAGAGATTTAATTTTATACTCTCATTATGTCTGAACAAGTGGGAGGAGCTACAGAATATGAGAAACAATACAGACTCAGGTGTAATCTTTTCAACCCCTTTACTTTCAAGTAGAAAGATAGCTGCACAGGATTAACGGTTGCATTGTTAATTAGAAGAAAACAAGTAGGTTGAGGCATCCCACTGCTAAGCTTAAATCACATCTACAGTTTCTCAACAAAAAATTTGCTAAAGACCTGGAAGCCCTGCCTGAAGGCACAAGGCTTTACCTATGTGTTAACTGGGCATTTCTAAATCCATGATGCAAGCAAAATTTAACACATATAATTAAAAGAAATAAGTATTAACAGTGAAGACTGTAATCTCATAATGTACACACATTAACCCTTTATTTCAGGGGTCGCTGTGTGAAACGGGGTATTTGTTCTCCCTTCTGGCTGCAAATAACTCAACATACAAAAATGAAGCAAATATTTACATCTGATTTAGAGACTTCAAAGTAAATTAATAGCAACTGTAGATCTGGAACCTGCTGCCAACATAGAAATCAGTCTTTAATATTATAGTTGCGGATTTTTGCCATGTTAGAAGAGATTTTTGGTTTTAATGGATGAGCACAAGATAAATTCCTGGATTTTAACTTCTGCTGAACTTCCAGCCTTGTTCCTCTGACTGTCAAATCTCCAGCTGGCACTTCAAGTTTATCCTTGGCTTTGACATTTTGCTGAGATTCTTCAGATTGCTTGGTTGAATGTATAACTTCCAATTCCACTGCTCAAAAAAATACAGAAAAACACTTCGTAGTTATGTTTGTATGTAATTATGAGACTGGGTAGATGAAGAGAACTGGTTTACTCTTTTCCTCTAAATACACTGCTGCCACAGTGCCGTATTGTGACAGTCTTATATTAACAGAATCATTTCTGTACATAGGAGGCCCAGAACTGCCCATTAAGGTGTGCTCTACTGATGGTGTAGCACATCAGCATCTCCTGCTCAATCCTCGCTCCATCTGTAGCTGTTCATCTCCATTAGCATCAGACTGCTTAAGAGAGGAAGACAGCTGGGAGGTTGGTGTGACTGTTGAAGTTAAGCACTACCTATCTGTTCAGCTGTTTTTAAACATCACATTTTACAAGTTTACCCTTCTCTCCATTGTGAGAGAATATGTTTGGGTATGCATGATACAAAAGGCTCAGAGGCAATTCTGTTGGCTTGACAAAGCTGCACTATTACCATTACCTTTTGGGGCTTTTTTTTAATCTTCTCTCGCAGAGGAAGGCATGTACTGTGGAAATCTTTGATTTTGTTGTCTAAAATATCTTGTCTGTATTAGAGAGAACTAACTCAAAAAGTAGTATCTTTGGATGGGAAGCAGTGGGACTGGTCCTAATATCAGCCGGAGTCCATCCTGCAGCTTCTCACATAATTCTCTGAAAACCATTATGTCCAACTAACTGAACTTTAGTCTTGTCACAGGTTTCATTAGGTAAGATAAGTGTAACTGGTCAAAGTATTCACTATAAGCTACAGGTAATATTTACAGGTGTTTGGCTCCAGCCACTTAATCCTTATTTTTCAAGGCACTAAGACATCACATTTTCTATAAAGAGCCAAAGCAGACAGGAGAAGTAGTCATAATATACTTGGGATAATATACACTACAGCATTCTGTACCACAGGCTGCAGTCCCAGAGACTATTCAATCACAGAGCAAAATAAAAGGCACACAAATGGACAAAGAAAAGTTATTAGTAGGGGAAGGTAAATTTTCAAAGTCAACTGGACATGGTAGAAAGTCCAAACAAAATTTAACATGGAAGAAAATAAAAAATATTCCTGAATTCTGGAATGAATTGATCTATTGAAGGTTTATAGCTCTATGCAAAGTGTGAGAAGTAGAAACCCAATTGGGTAATTTCCAATCAGAATTTATTATATGATAAAAGCAAATTCAGCGCTGGGTGATCAGGGAAGGGGTTCAACAACTCCCAACGCCTGTCACACCCAAAGAAGATAGTTGTTCTACATTTATTTCCAGCTACTTCATGAATATTCATGACACTGTCAAAACATGACATTTTTCAAAATAATTTTTATATTCAGGTTTAGCTTGAACCAGCTGTTCACTCGTGTGTGCCATCTCTGCATGGAGTCAGCTTAGTGGCATTTGTTATCACAGGTGGCAAAGACTCAGTGGGCTCTTGCACTGTGGATGTGAAATCCTGTTGTCCAGCTTGCCACCTAGTGGCTTCCTACAGATGCAGAAGGTATGGAAGAGCATGCTTGAACTCATGAAGGTCTTTGAGTGTATTTTCCTACCTGGAAAATGGACTTTATTCATTATAGTACCTCTACCACGTCTGGCAGATAATAATGCAGAATTTCACAACATAAACCATTTAGAACAGTACAGGCAGCTGTGTCTGAAAGGTACTGCTTCAAGGATTATCTTCTTGAACAGGAACAGCAGCAGAATGATATTACCTAGCACTTGTGATCTGAATAACAGCAATGAGCAGATCCATAAATAGCACACACTTAATGCTTACAGACAGTCTGGTTTTTTAAATATTCACTCAGTTTTCAAGGGTGTTTTGTATTCAATAAAGGGGATGATTTTCAGAAGTTAATGTGGGATGCCCTAATCGTGTAAATCCAAAGGCAAAGTAACCACGCACCAGTGCATCACATGCATCCCTTCCTCTGAAGACTTCTGTATGCTTGTCTCCTGTCATTCATAGAGAAACTACAGTTGTAACTAGTAAAGGCTAATTTAGGTGTTTGGAACAACAACACAGGACACGAGCATTGTATAAGGCTATTTTAAAAAGTTTTGAACTGCCAAAAATGTGTGCTAATGTACGGTTATTTCCAAAAATGGAAAAAGATGAAGAATCAATACCCCAGAATGAGAAATACTACTTAAAGTGAAATATCCTAAGAGAATACTGAATAAAGACCTTACTGTATTGCTGGTTCTGCTCGGGACTGTTCACATCTGTGAGGGACCCTGAATAAGATCAGCATGAATATGCACTGTACAGTAAAATTTGAACGCAGTAGCTTGGTTTTCACACCAACGAAAAAACACACCTAATTTACAAGCCTGAAACTTACTTTCAGAAGTGACCTTGGCAACCAGAGCTATCAAGATCATAGTTAAGCATCTAACCTGCTTTTGGAAATGGAACTAAATGTTTAGTGTATTGAAATGCTTAACATCTCTTCAATTTGATGTGTGTTAACTTCGGTCAGAAATTAATATTCACAGAACTTTTTTCTCAGAATGAAAGAGATATATATAGACATGTTCTATGAGCAAACTGAAATTTCCCCAGATGGAAAATTTCATTTAACAAATTTGTCACTAGATATTTGCTTATGGCTAACAGTGTTTCTGAAGGAACACCAACTCAAACAAGTTCCTATTCAGGAGAAGAACATGTAAGTGAAGAAAATGTAACTAGGAGATTAGTTAATATTTGTGAAACACTTCAAAGATGAAGTTTTATGTAACGCAGAAAAGAGATCATGAGTCTGTCTCTGATTGGAGCCGGAATGAAGCCAGAGCCAGAGCACTCTTTCTGTTTGTTAATATTTCACCAGATTCTTTCTCTGGCCAGCTTTTTACCCCCATGGATTGCTCTTAGAACTGTCAGTGATGTTAAAGCTGTTGAAATTCTGTCTAGTGTGGAAACACTTAAGATAACTTTTGATCCATAAAGTGTGGCATTTCAGACCACAGAGCTTTGCAAGGAACAATGAGAATTATAGCAGAAGAAACTCCCCTAAGCTCAAGTAGCAAACCAGAAAAGTTACTTTGCCTCAAAGCAGCTCATTCCTATTCTTTGTTAGGCTACAATGTAAACTCCAATTAGTAAACTCAGGACACATACTGAGTACCTGTGGAGGTGGGGTTTCTCAAAATGTAGAGTGGGACATGAAAATACAAAGTTTCATCTACCCCAAGCGTGTATAAATCCAGTGTCTAATGAGAACACAGCTTGCCTTACGCCCTTATTCCCTCTGCACTGACCCCAGCCTCTGCTGACCCCACAAGATACAGCTGATACTGATCTGTTCACACGGTACCACACAGGGCCCTTCACAGTACTGGCTTTATGCTAAATGCAGTCTTAGAGTTGAACTTTAATAGGTGATGTTTGCCTTTTTTTCCCCAAAAAACTAGTGTCTCCAACAGCAAGTAATAACTTTATTAAGCTAAATTACTCAAAGAAAATAAATTTCAGTTTTCTAAATGTTTTACAAAGCTTCCCCTCCTCCTGCCTAACAGTTACTCTGAAATCTAAAAAGGCCCGATAGCCCACTGGTGAATGGAGAAAACTTGCAGCAGACATACATCACCTGATCACCTGGCTGTACATGTGTGCCATGATTTTCAGAGGAAAGCAGACAACTAATCTGATAAGCAACTTTCCTTTGAGGGTGGCTTGTCATCGGCATTCAAGACATGCATGATGTGGATCACCAACCAAAATCTTTCACCTGCTCTCAGCCTCTGGCATAGAGCATTTAAAAAGGAAAGAAATACAGAAGCTTATTTCTTACTAGTACAGCCTATGTATCTTATGGAGCCTTTTGTTATCATCATGGCTTGTACCTGTCTACCTCTGTAGCAGGTTCTTTTTCTTTTAATAATATGGAACAAGAAAAACACATTCAGCAGGAACCTATGTTCCTTCTAAATACCTGCTCTCTAGTTATCTACAGAATTAACATATAAGCTATTAAATCCATTTCATTTCTACAATACAAACTGAAAATTAGCAAGTAGAGTAAAGAGAGAGAAAATTAAAATATCTCATAGCCTTTTGACTTGCTTGGAAGTTTATACAAGTTCTGAATTTGATGGTGAAATGAATAAAGGCTATAACAGTCTACTTCAGTAATTCAGTATTAAGATGTAGTCATTAACACTTCAAAACACACTGAGCATTGAGTCATTGCATTATGTCATATGCTGGAAACAGAGCAAATCGCAGGGCTTACTTGACATGCCAACCATTTTGAGTGCCAATAGGATGTTCTGTACATGAAAAAAATGAATCAAACTGTGTAACAGGTTCAGAAAAATAATTTTCGTGCTACAGTTCTCTGTTTCACCAGAAATGTCCCTAAAACATAGCTACTGATATAATAAATTTGGACAGAGTGAACTTGGAAGTGGTGGATTCTCCATCCCTGGAGGTTTTTAAGATGAGACTGGATGTGGCAATTAGGGCCATAGTCTGGGAACCACAGCGGTAGTGGATCAAGGTTTGGACTTGATGATCTCAGAGGTCCCTTCCAACTCGGCTGATTCTATGATTCTATGAAATCATTCTTGTTACTGAGCTTCCAAGTCTCTGTGTGTGTCACTTGTACCTGAAAGCCCAGTTCTGAGTCACTTTATCTTAATGACAGTTCTATCTAACCATGTGTTTGATGAATGTACTAAATTCAAGTGAGTGGAATTAAACAGGAAAGATTGAATTAATTTTCCATAGCTCAGGCATGAAAAATAATGCAAGCCTCAACTAAAAATCAGAACTTGAAAATTTTGTATATTTTGCTTCTAAGGGGATGTCCTTCCAAGAGGAAAAATTTTGCTTTCACAATCTTGTTTTCTGAAATGCAGAATTCACTTTAGTAGAATTAAGGACACCTTTTGGTTGGTTTCCTGGAGGAGAAAGCTAGGCAGCAAAAAAGAGCATTTAAAAATCTTATTCTTGCAATGCAGCACTTCAGAGCCTGCACGTTTGAATTAGAAGTTCCACTCTGGGGTTCTTCAGATAAATCTGGTTGCAGAGATAAAATTAAAGTTGTTCTCAGGAAAATATCAGCCCTTACTGATGTTTCACTTGTTTCACATTGGCAGTACTACCTTTCCCTTTTGCTATTCTCTAGATCCCCAAAAATCTACATTAAGTTTTGCAACAGTGGCTGGAAATTTCTAGACATTAAGAAACTGATGTCCTTGTAAGGCTGCCAGAGCTGTTGCATCACACATACAACAGCACGAAACTGCATGGCACTATCAGTAATGTTTCAAAGACATCCTTTTGCTTATCCTGTCAATATAGGCCTGACCTGAAATAACTCTTCCTATTTCAGTCCCAGCTTCACAAAAAAAGCACATGAATCATGACTGTCAGCACTATGTCCATTCCAGTCCTACAGGTCTATCAATGGACATTACTTTGTCCCTGCAATGGACTGCTCTTGTGAGTAAATACACTTATAATCCACTTCTCATTTTGAAAGCCCTTTAAAATATTTTTTCTTGTGAGCTGCTAAAGATGGTTCATTGCATCCATATACTGACTTAAAAGTAGATGTAACATAGGCTGGAAAGGACTTCTGGGTGAAATGTCACAGTGCTTATCACTCCCTGCTCAGAATATCTTGACACAACTTGTGTCCATTGCCTCTTTTCTTTTCACTGTGCACCTCTAAGACTCTTTTTCTGTCTTCTCCAAAATCCCTCTCTGGGTAGTTAAAAAGCAGCAATAACACCACTCACTGACTCTTTTCCACGCTCAACAACCCAGCTCTCTCAGTCTCTTCTCATGCAGCGTGTTCCTGTGCCCCAGCAATTTAGTGATTCTGCTCTGGACTCCAGTTTGTCAATCCTTTGTACCAGAGGGTTCAAAGCTGGACGCTGTCTCCAGATGTGGCCTCACAAGTATCAAACAGAAGTGAACAAATCCCTTAGCTCACTGGTTGCATTCTTGTTCCTGCAGTCTGATATGTGGTTAATGGCACATGAGTATCCACGTAATGGTAACAGGTCATTGCCAATATAAAGCTCATTTGAAAAGGCTAAATGGCTGTCATATTATTCCACAGATGCTGTCAGATCTCAGGAATAATGATGATCACCTTTACTTGGAACATTCTGGAGAAATGTTTGTCTGTCTACTTATCAAGACCTTTAATAAAGAAGAGTCTACAATCTCCCTAGGGAACACAGTCCGCTATTAGCCATCCTGCTGTTAGCCATCCCTGAAGTTTGTAAGTCTGTTACTTTTTGTCCGATCCACAGCAGGTGTTAGAACAGTTTCCCAAAGTTTTGCCGATGAAGGATTACTCCACGAACAGGCCAACAGTTTGGGAGATGTAATATTAATCTGCAATACACTGCTCAACATAATAGCTACCATTAAAAAGTTCCTTTACAATTTGCCTGTTAAGAACTACACTTTACTGCACACATCTTACAAATGGTGCTCTTGCTAAATATTCCAAGAACATGGTGCTTTTTGTAGACGTATAACACTGATTAAAGTTCAGTCTACGACCTAGGTTTTACCTTTGCCTCTCATCCTAACCCTGACACTGTCTCACATATAAGAATATGTGTCTGCTTTTATTTTTTTCTCTTCCAACTTGTTGCACTGGACTATAAAACTCTAGTGAATATCAATACTTAGTTCATTTTGTGCCCACAGCATATACCACATTATGCCCGTGATGTCACTTTTGGCTTTTAGGTCTTAGCACATTAAGGAGTATTGTAGCAATTAACCTGCTACAAAAATAACAATTAAGCAATGATTTGCCAAATTACAATTTGATCTAACAGTTACTAAGCAACACATAGACTGTGCAGTTCTAAAACAGACACTTTCATATCTGCCCCAGCTAAGTTTTAGACTATGTCAAAACAGAATTTGCAATTTCCAGGAGTACTTAATGAAAGCGGAGAAGTATTTGCAACAATGGCATTAAAACCAAAGAGCTTTATAGATGTTCCTCTTAATTCTTACTTCTGATGGCAACAGTGGAATTCCCTTCAAGTAACTCATTCAGATTCTGATGATAGGTCTGTAACAACAGCAGCAGTCAAGTAAAATAATTAGTGGAAGGGGACAGAATTCCACTACCGTCCTTCCAATCTTCAAGAAGAGTCAAATACTGTGACTACTTTACAAAGCGGACTTACCTTGGTTGCTGTTCTTTTGAGGACTGAGAATAGAAAGGCTTGATTCCATTTCTAAAGTTTGCCAAACACCTTGACAGAATTTATATGCTCTAGATGAAGAAAGCTGGACCTGCTGGACTTGACTAGGACTCTGCCTGAGCGGCTGACTTTGAACAATCTTTGAGGATGCATTTGCCTTTTGTTGCTCTGGCCCATGATTTTCAATAGAGAAATCTAGCTGAACCTGTTCAAATTCAAAGATAATGTTACAGAAATACATACTTTTCACATCAAAGACATCTGAAAATTGGTTAAATTTCATAGTGGCATCTTGGACTTGGAAAGATACAAGGTTTCAGCAAGAGGCAAGACAAAAGAAAACTATTATTTTTACTTTTGAAAGGTTGTACAAGATTAATTACAACATCATGACAGTGATTGAGAAACCCTAGTTTATCTAGTGTTAACAAATGCTATTTTGTACAGGAAAAATTCGTAATTTAAAAAATACATTGATTTTTAAGTCTTCCAGGAGATGTTGAGCAATTCAAATTGAAAAGTCCAACTTAAGGTGATTACACTGATGATAAAACTGCACTGTACCTCAGAGGATGGCAATTCTATTTCTTCCCCACAGTTGCTTGGAGCTTCTTCTTCCTTTAAGCCAGGGCAGGCAACTAGAGAAGAGAACCTCGAGGGATGCTGTTGCCTTGCATATTGCAGCTTCTAATATGAAATATTACATTTACAGAAATAACTCATGGTCTCTAAAAATAATACATTTATAGCTCAGTTTGCTGTTACACTGCTAGATTTAAAATAATCAAAATAAGGAACATAAAAAATTATGTTCCCTCCAGATCAACAGGGCCAAACTACCTTCCTAATAAACCTTGTATTAAATCTGTTCAAAATCTATATTTCCTGGTGCTGTTACTATCGCTCTGCTTGTTACTCAGGTTTATATTGTCAGGGTCGTTCTTTGCTTTTGTCTTTTCTCATGGTTAAATTACAGAAGAAAAACTCCAAAAGAATACCTAAAAATCCAATTAAAATAAGGCAGTTATGGAAAAGTAATTTGTCAGCAACTAAAAAAACCTAATTTACCCCACAAAGTTTCACCAACTTTCAACATGTAGTAATTAAAATGAGATTTGATGAAAAGCAAACTACTTCAGCCCTCTCAAAGGAGATGAAAGTAAACATCAAAGTCATTTGCTATATATTTAAGGCTAAAGAAACAAAATGTGATCCCATCATATAAAATAACTAACAGTGAAATTCCTGTAGCTATGACAGTAATAAATTCTCTCAGTTTTTGTTAAGGATGATGATTTTGAACACAGGAGCAAATGTAGCCTGGCTAGTAAGAGTGATCAGCTAGAATAAAAATACCTAAACTAGAATAACAGCAGTTTTTGAAGGTCAGCCTGGAGCTCAGCTTCAGTGCAGGAGCTGAAGCCTCAGCAGGTCTGTTCTGGGTAAAGAGCAGCCTGGAATTAGAGTACTGAATAGCCTGGATATAAGAAGGGCTATGCTTTCTTGTCTGGACAAATGATGTTTTCAAAGGTTCCAGAGGTGGAAAGATACTCAATGACAGCCACTTCAGCCATGACCTCCAAGCAAGCCATCAGCTGAAGAGATTGAACAACTACTCCCAGAATTTAGCACACCAACTGGAAACTCAGAGTCAAATGCTACCTCTCCAAGTGCCATGGACATACTGTATTTTTAAAATCTATTTATTCTTACAAAAGTAAGAATTATCTTTAATGAATTTTAACAGAACACATGAGACACGAGATGTGTAGAAAAATACAAACACAGTATCTAGCTCATTAAAAATAAGGCCACAGAAGACTGGGATGGATGGGAGATGAATACTCATTGGTCTTACTTTTAGAGTCAGCTAAATTCTAAGATGAGCTGTGAAAGAAAGAAAAAGAGGTGAATAAGAAAAAAAGAAGTTGTAAAAAATGTGGTTTTGAATTGTGGGAATTTTGCACAGATCTGGAAATCATCTTTAGATACGTTTAGTGTAAGCATTTAGCTAGTCTTTTTCAGACTCAATCCCAGCAGTGTACAGATGGAAAAAACAGGTTACAAGAGGTCTACTCAAATGCTTTGCTGTACCCTAATTTCCTTCATAAAAATTATTTCCAGTGTTAAAGAGTTTAGGAAGATCACTATTTCTGAAACAGTGAGCTGAAAGTTCAAGTGAACAAAGGATGCCAAGCTTGCAACTTTAAGTAAATAAGATGTTCACAAGCATCCTAAACAAACGATCCATCCACAAGCATGCTGAAGCATTCCACAGTAAGTTCTCCTGTTGGCAGACCACATTCCAGGCATTCAGCACACTGTAACAGCTGCCTCGCCTATTCCCTTCTGAAACCTCACAGAGGAAGATCAGAATCCTATGCTGAGGACTGTTACAGAGGACCAGATTTGAACTTTCCACCTTGGAGTTTTACAAGAAATTAAAGATTTCCTGCTCCCGAAGTAGCTCATACCACTGTCCCATAAGATGTGCCATTGATATGTCAGCGAGGCTATTTATTTGATGCTCAGTTCTTTTCTCTGAGGACCCTCCTTGCGCTACAATGAGATGCTAATACTTCTTGTGGTGGTGCTGCTGTGACAGCTCTTGATCATGCCCTCAGACTGTCAATGAAGAGTTGAAAAACAGTGCTGCATTACCAGATGTGTTCTCACAGTAATTTGAATCTTCCCAGCTCAAAACCTAGATGGCTTCCACTATGTTCTGTCCTAAATCATATTTTTCATGCCCTCACTAATACTTTTGACATCAAAAGAACTTGATTAGATAAATTTGCTAAAATATACCAGATTCTCCAGCACACATTGCACTTACCTGGCTGACCTTTTACAGTTCTCAATTTCTGTTGTCTTAGACTATCTACTATATCCGAGGGAGAACAAGTCTCCATTAGCTCTGGAAAGGTACAGCAGATGGCATTTTCAGTTTATCACTGTCAGATCGATGGTCTACAATGTTTGTTCACACTGCAACCTTTAAAACTTCTTCATTGACTAATGGGCAGTAAAGAAGAACAGGGAGTTATTTTCACTGAAGCAACCTGTTCAAATTTGGTTCTAATTGACTCTTAACAGCACAGCCTTTGGACTTCAGGCAACCTTTCTCTACCAGACAAGAGAGCCTCTCTTGTTGGATACCTTCTGCTAGGAGGAAGCTAAGAGAAATGCAAATACCTGGGACAGGATGTCCAAATGCAGAGTTCTTGCCTGCCAGGTTCCCTTAGAACATATTCCAAAATGTTTCCATAGATTCAATCTAACAAATTCACCTTAGCCAAGAAACATACGTACTTGTTTTCTTCCCCAAATAATATGCCTTTTCTGGCTGAAATACTGCTGCATACTTTGGATGCTTGGAGAGCCTTTTCCTTTCATATTGAAATGTCTGGGCCCTTCAAATAAGTACTACCTGGTTTTACTACTATTCTTTCTCCAAGGTAATAGCAATCCTGTGCGGAAGCTGCCTAACTGTCTGCCTAAAGACCTGATAGCAGAACACTGAATTTGACCCTGTCAGTACTTGTTCTCAAATTTAATTGCTGGATGATCTTTGCATTTCAAACTTTTACAGTATTTTCTTAGATCTACTAACTCAGAAGTTTTTGTTATTAGTCCAAATAATATCCCTCATGGGTACAATCTGAAGTGCTGTTTTACTTCACAGGAAAAAATATATCTGTTTTCAGCATAACTAAATTGCCAAAAAGATTGGACCAGCTGAGTCACTTAACCTCCATTTACGTAATTCGTAGCACTTATTCCAAGCAACTACAGAGGTTAATATGCTTTGGTTTTTTTTCTTTAGCACCACTCTTAACTGGCAAGCTCAATGTGAGTCAACAGTGTGTCCTGGTGGCCAAAAGTGCCAACTGTGTCCTCGGTGCATTAAGCACAGCACAGCTGAACAACCAAAAGAGTGACTGTCCCACTACGCTCAGCATTGGTGCGGCCTCACCTTGAGTACTGTGTGCAATTTTGGGCTCCACAATATGAGAAGGATATAGAAATAGAAATATTAGAATGTGCCCAAAGAAGAGCAACAAAGATGGTGAAAGGACCAGAGGGCTAGATTTATGAAGACCGGCTGAGGATACTTGGCTTGTTCAGCTTAAAAAGGACGAGACTGAGGAATGACCTCCTTGCTGTCTATAACTTTCTCATGATAGGGAGCAGTGTAGGAGGTGCTGATCTCTTCTTTTTGGTGTCCAGTGATAGGATGCAGGGGAATGGCTTAAAGCTGCATCAGGGGAAATTCAGACTGAATATTAGGAAGAAGTCCTTCCCTGAGAAGGTGGTCAAGCAGTGGAACAACCTCCCCAGAGAGTGGTCATGGCCCCAAGCCTGTCTGTGTTCAAGAAGCATTTGGGACAATGTCCTTAGATACACGGTTTAACTTCCAGGTTGTTCTGTCTGGCATCAGGATTCAAAGATCCTCATGGGTCCCTTCCAGCTCTGGATATTCTATGATTTTATGAAGTCTCCCAAAGATAGATTTGAGCTAAAGTCAGTAAGAGTCATTTAAATGTGGAATTTTAAGGAAAGTTATATTCACGAAATTCGAACTGGCTTAATGGATCATTATCACTACATTTCAGAGAGCATATAATTACCTGTGTTGTGAGTTTGTGCTGTAGATGTTTTAGAGCTGATAGCTGACACTGCGTTCTTTTCACAAGTTCTCTTGGAAGCAGACTACCAGAGGCAATACAAACTGTGCAGTGTTTAGAGCCGACAGGATGCCAAAGTCCTATAAAGCAGAGAAAATACCAAGGAAGGCATTCTTTGTTGTTATTTTGTCATCAGTATTACATTCCCAACAAGTGTTTACAGCAGATAGGAATGAACCACAGAACACAGGCCGCCTCACTGCAGATGGGTTCAATGCTATGCAGAAATGGGCCTTGTGGTTTTTTCCTTTGCTCTATTGCTAGAGAAACTGTACATGGAACATAAATATCCACTGTGAAATCTTCTTACATTATATATACTCTTAATTCAAGTTTGTGCTACAGTAAACTTATTCTGCTTTCTCTTCCACTTTCCTAAAACATTAGTTTTTATTCCAAAAGATAAACTACCTCTTTTCTGCTCATAAACAAAGTCTTAGTTCAATTTCCAGTTCCCACACTGACATCTAGGCATCAGGGAGTCCTTCATCTATGATGTTAATCAACAAAAGTTACTACATACAGACTCCCATTGTTCTATATTAGCAGCGCCTATCAAAGGATAATCTTACTTGCAACAACAATTAGTACCACAGTCTCACACAAACCATGCAGATCAAGGATCAGTCAGGTCCAGCACTTTGTTTTCAGATTAAAGCCTAGCTCTCTCTAGCTCAAAGGATGAATTGATTCCCAGATTTTATTCTACATATATGTTAGCACTCTTCTGTAGAATAAATTTACCTTCCTTTAACACCATTCCAAGTTCTGCCCTGAGTCTGTTTCCCATTTCAATCAACTGCCGCTTCTCTTGGTTTAGGATTGAGATTTTTCTTGCTGCTTCCTTCAGTTTATTTTGCATTCCCTGTAGAGCATGTTTGACACCATATTGAAGCTCAACACCAGGACCTACATCAGGCAACTGTTGTCCAAGATCTACTATCTTTTCTTCAAGAACTTTGGGTTCTGGCCCCTGAATAAAACAGATAGTGCTTGTAATGAATATTTTGAAAGTGTGGTCTGAAGGTTGAGAGATTTGTAGAAGCACGCATTAGAATCCAGTTGAAGAAAAAGTGTAAAGTTGAAGTCTACCACCCGTTTTTTTGAGTCAATTTCCAAGATTTTGTTAGCAATATACGGCAAATGAAACTGTGGAGCAAAACACTACAACAGACTGAGCCATCCCCACAAATACTGTCAACTGTGAGTGTAAAATAATACACATAGGATAAACACCGTATAACTGTAAACTAAAGAGCAGGTAATTTTAAGATAAAATGTGGAAAAAAACCACTTTATAGCAAATCTACCACAAACTCTTCTTTGTTTAATCATTGTGTACATACACACATAAGGGGTAGATCTGACTTAAAACACCAGGGGATGACTCGTCAAAATTTATTGCCTAGAAAGAATGACCACAAGTTTGGTTGAAAACAATCTTTGCTGGCTCTCATCTAACTAGCCATATAAGCATATATTACTTCAGTTTATAGTATGCATTCAAACAAAAATAATGTGCTTTGCATTTAATTACATACACACACACACACACACACACAGATATTTTAGGTAGTTTAAACCTCTTCATACCTTTTCTGTGTCTGGGTTTACTATACAGTCCAGCTTAATTGAGCTGACTTTGATGTTGCTCAAAGTGGTTGCAGTTGAAATTTTGTTTGTGCTCACTGAACCTAAAAGGAGTATAAAAGCAACAGCTGCTTTAGAACATTGTCTCATGAATATACATGTCTAGAATCATAGCATCATTTAGGTTGGAAAAGACCTTTAAGATCATCAAGTCAAACCATTGATAGAACACTGCTAAGTTGACTGCTAAAGCGTGTCCTCAAGTGCCACATCTACATGTCTTTGAAATACCTCCAGGGATGGTGACTCAACCATTTTCCTCACCTGCTTGCACCAATGCTTGAATAACTCTTTCCAAAAAGAAACTTCTTCCTAATATCCACTCTAAACCTGCACTGGCATAACTTGTCCTATTGCCTATTACTTAGGAGAAGAGACAGACCCTCACCTCACAACAACCTCCTTTCAGGTAGTTGTAGAGAGTGGTAAGGTCCCCCCGAGCCTCCTTTTGTACACCACTTCAGTAGATATACTGTAAACCCCTATGGGAGGGAGGTTTGGACTAGGAGACTTTTAAAGGTCCCTTCCACCGCAAACAATTCTATGATTCTACATACTTGCTTCACTAGCAGGAATTCTGTCATAGCTTGTAATATACATATATTTGCTTTACTCTTGCAATATATATACACATTTGCTTTTCTAGTGGTAATTTCGTGGTGACTTTATGTGTGCATTTGTTTTTACTACTAATAATAGTTTTGTAGTAATTTGTAATAAAGAATCTCAGACCACTGCGTGCTTATGTATTGTGCAATCTTGAGAACCCCACAGCAATGAGTTTTACACACCCATGGGCTGGATAGCCCTCATAGGTTGTGACTGTGACTGCTACACTTCCTTACTGAATTTAAAGGTCTTTGGCAAGAGTTGTTACCTTGCTCTACAAGCTGTCTGTTTTCTGTCAGAGGAAGAGAAGACAACATCTGCTCATCAAGACTCTCCATTTCTTTCCTCATTTGTGCAATAGCAGCCCGAAGGCTGGCATTCTGCTTCTGCAGCTTTTTTATTTCCAAGGTAGGAATATCTTTGCACAGAGAAGTTTTATCATCATACTGAAATATCTGGAAAATAAAAGTACAACGCAATAAGAACCCTTCATTGATAAGCAACACATATTGTCTCTGCACACCACGCAAACAGATCCTAAAACTTACAACCCATGAACATATGTGGGAAAAAAGAACCATAGGAGGAAAAGAAATAGATCTGGTTATTGAGGATTTGCCAGGGAAAAAGGTGCTCTGCTGAGAACATCATAGAAGGAGGCATAGTTGGGGAGGACCACGGCCACAGGTGGCTCTGTCTTGTCACTGTTCTGTAACTGTGCTATCTCTGTCTCTTCCATGCACCCATCTCCTTAAAGAACTTACTGGCTCGCCAGCAGTCCCCTTTCTGACCTGTCAAATTCTTGAAAATGTCATTAGAGACCATCTGTTCACAGTAACATAAAGAGGCTGGATGTTCTTTTCTAAACAGAAAAAGGGGAAGGAGTGTATGGACTACACCCAGATAATTGGACAACGGACAGTATCTAGAAAACTGCCAAGCATTTCAATTTAAAGTAAGTAGCAATGTCTTTCCTTCACATGTTAGTTAGATAAGCTAACAACAAGCATTGTATAAGGAACATTTGTCAGATAATGATCGAAGCTCTACCTTCATAAAGGCCTTGAAGCCTATCTTCCCTTAATATACATGGTGGAAGTCTGAATGGATAAGCAATATAGACTTCCAGAACTGAAGAGGCTGACAAACCCCAGATTGCCATGAGTGCCTTTTACTGTAAAAGACCTTATTTATATCAGTGAAATATGAGCAGCTTGCTTATAGTGTAACACATCCCAGAATCATTCCATTTCCTAAATTTTTGAAGGGGAATTGCTCAGTTTTCTTCATGGGCTGCATGTAGCCTTAAAGATTATCTCGGAAATTTTAGTTTGGAAATCTAGCCCTGTGTGCATAAAGCGATGGCCTAATCACTTTATGGGCAAAAATGTGAGATGCTCTAGATCACAAGCCAGAAGGACTGCTTTAGTCTGTCCTACCAAAGGTTGCTAGCTCCAAAGAGTAGTCAGCTACATATGTTTAGGAAAAAGGACAAATACCAAAATGCTTCCTTCCTCCTTTATACCTCCTCAATTTTCAAATTTGCAGCTTTTGGGGATGGAAAAAAAGGAAAACCAGATGTGACAAAAAACTCAAAAACTAAAATGCACAGATATTGATTGGAAAACACATCTTCTGGTCACTTGAAATTCCAGCAAAATCTTCAGGGAAAAAAATCTAGTAGGATCACTGGGATATAAGGACTATGGTATTAGGGTCCTGACGTTATTTACTTTTGCTGTTTCTTCATTCAAAGTGTGTCTGCAAACATTTTTAAAGAAGTTACGTTAGACCAACGGTGGTGTGTTATAACTGTGGTTTCATCCAAACAGAGAGTGCCTAATTTAGATTCCACTCCTATAAAATCCTCTCTCACTGATAGAAACATTTGTCATCGTCCACCTAAAAAATGCAGATACTATTTGGTACAGGAGTATTAGAAAGCTCTGCAACAGCAGAATATACACTCCTCCAATCACTAATTCACAGACCATCCAGATCAGATGTTTTTGAAAACAAAAAGACTGTGAAATGTGTTTGGAGCATTTGTATTGAATGTTGCTAATTTTAAATGTTTCTTTGAATTCAACCCTAACCTTAAATCGTTGCAAAGCAGCAATTCTGCCTCTTCAGAGGGCATGGCAATCGATGAGGCACTGCACATAAAACGTGTGAGCAAATTACTTCAGTCTCAACATTTATGCCTTGCACAGCCTCAAACACTACTCCCTTTGCATCTTCTCCATTATTCTCTCCTTCCTTCAATTCCCTTATTTCCCCAGTCGTAAGTCTGTTCTGTGAGTGTGATCTGGAACACTAATGGCCTTCAAATTAAATTTCCCTGCCATAAAGGCAATGGCTGCCCTATATATTCTTTCTGCCCTAACAGTACGGGGTATGTAGAAGATGAAGATAGTCTATTCCGCTTTTACAATCTCTCCGAGGTTGTTAAGGTGAGGAGGGGAAAGGCACCAGGAGGTACCAATACATCTCCCAGATGTGTTCTGAATTTTGGGGCCCTGGACTTCATCTCAACCTGCAACATAAACATGAACTATCACAATTTGAACCAGAAATACAACTGTTCCAGATTATTTTAAGTGGAAAAGGGTCTAGAGAGAACACCAAATAATAAACCAGGATTACTGTAAGCAGTCTTTCCTTATCTGTGCATTCCTATGATATTATCAGCATGGTCTAGTTAGACAAATATGACCTAAGTCATACTAAAAAATCAGTTATAAGCAAGATTTTCCACACTGCTGTGTTTCACATCTCTGTTGCTTAATTAAAGGCTGAGAATGACTACTACACTTCATTTTGTATAGAAAAATTACAGGAAAAGGTTCTTCAGAATAGTAGACTTTTTTTTGTTATTTAGTTTTTTAAACACTGGCCCTTCCCATAAAACAGAAATCAAAAAAGTTTTTGCTAAGATGGATACTGCTTATCCTACAGGCCAAAAGTGCAAAAACCAGAGTATTTTAACAACAGAAAGAAAAGTGTGACAATGAAAACAAAGTCTTGCCAACAACAGTTGAAGACAACAGCGAATGCAAACAGCTAAAAACCCCCTGCCCAACCCTGCTTTCTTTTGGTATCTCAATGATCAATTTGCAAATCAGTACAGCTTGAAATGAAATTGGAAAAACAACTAGCTCCACAGCAAGTTTTTGCTAACAGTCTACTTTTGTCTATGATAAAAATTGTCTTCAGAAAGTATCTTTCTGAATACAACACTTCCTGCATTCAGGAACTACTAGGCTTGCTTAACACTGCTTTTTCTTAGCAAGCTCTGGTAACATGCTCTGAACTGCTCACTGTTGAGCATGTGTAGCTGCCCAGCAGAGTGCACTGCAGCACACTCTTTACTGTTGTTTATCTACGAAAGACAATTTTCTACTTATAATGCATTATCCTTCAGCATGGCTTCAAACCAGCATTACGCTTGCAATTTTGAATGCATTTTTAAAATATACGTATTTTAATAGGTAGCAATGAAAGGAAAAATTGTGATACTAAAATATAAGGCATTATTTTATACAGCTGGCATATTAGTATTTTGAAGCATTGCCTTAAAATTTTAACTTTACAATTTTAAAATCTACCCTGAACTGCAACTGACACAGAGCCTCAGGAACATTCCAGAAATTAATTCTTCCCATTCTGATGTGCCATGATGGTACACTACATTGTCATGTTTTGGAGCAACTGTCTACATCCAGCTTGCTCCTTTTGCCAGTGACTAATAAATGAGAGCCATAATTGAGCCTGTGACATCTAATCTATGTGTATTCCAGGCTAGATAAGACAATATTTTGAATTATATATATGAAACTGATGAACTGCTTACAGTAAATCCAGTGGAAACAAGGCTCATAAAGTTGTCATTTCAGAATGTCTACACTAGTGTCTATAATAAGTGTTGTCTAACCTGTTTCCCCCCTTCGGGTAAAATATTGTGATTAAATGATGCTTATATTGTCTGTTCTTTCTCAACAGTCAAAGCAGAAAGAAGAGTCTTCACTTCATGCAACCTGCAGTCTGTTTTCTGTAGATCAGCTTCAAACCAGGAAGGAGTGAAAGGATGAAAAGCAGAGGATGCCAGTAGCTCAAGGACAAAGGGATGGAGAAAAGAAAAAGAAAGTAAGGGAAAGGGAGGAGAAAAGGAAAAAGGAAGAAAAAAAAAGAAAAAATCAAAGATATTTTAAATCATAGCACAGGGACTTAAGCACATTCCTTTTGGCTCTGTCAAAAACTGCCTTCACAGACAAATAATTTAGCTCCATTGTCTAATCTTTATGTGAAATGGACAATGCTGATTCATCTCTCACATGTGTTCCCATGCTGCAGCTATTGATGTCTATGAATCATTTTTGAAAGACAATGATAAAATAACACCAGAGTAAATGCCTGCATTCTAAACTTCATAAACAAGTGTTTCCTCTGTACCCATGAGTTTACTAGGCAATCTGGCATTGAGAGCTGATAGCCCATTGTGTAATAGTCTCTAAACAACAAACATGTATCTAATTTTTCAGAAACAGAAGCTTGTACACTACACAAAATAGATTTTTTTTCCCCCATACAAAAATACTCAGAGTTTTCCAGGTCTAATATTGTACCCTTAATAGAATTCAAGTGGTACTGTGATCTGAAATCCTTTTTGGCCTGGGGCTGCTCTAAGAGGGATCTTTCTTCTTTTGCTACAATGGCAAGAGAAAAGCAGTGACATCTCTCAAGATGACTTGATTTCACAAAAAGGGAGAAAAGGCCACTTTAGAGATTGTTCATGAAAATTAATCTGGTCTCTGATCAAATATGTGTGATGAACTGTTGTGCTCAATACAGAATTACTATTTTACATATTTTTGAAAGAAGATCAAAGTCATACTTCCCCGAGAAACACCACGGTGGAAAAACTCCATAGGTCTCTCTGCAACAGATGATTCTGAAACTGTTAATTTGAAATTCTCACCTCCTCTCTTGATGAAAACAGGCTTTGTGTTAGATCCTCTGATTTCTGATACCAATTATGTTCAGCATTCTCACAGAGGTGCTGCCAGTTTAGTTCTGTTTGCATTTTACCCTGTTCTAGAATCCATTCTTGCTCAGCTCCAAGAGACAGTTGTTGCTTATACCTATGATACACAGAGAAAACCTGTTGATTTAAGGAGAATAAATAACCAAGGATGTTTTGTGGTGTTTTTTGTACACACCCTAATATGGTATGTACAGCAAAGGGGAATTTAAAGAAACACGTCAGACAAACGGTATCCTTTGCAAAATAAGATCTGATTCCATAACCATCAGGGAGAAAGGAGAAAAAAAAGTTCATTTTATGAAAAAAACCCACCATCTTACAGACATTAAATTCCTTTAAAGCCATCTGAGTATCTGTAATACATCAAAGACTAGGCATTACAGAAATAACTGAACTTCATTTTAACTTTTAGAGGTGCAGAAAAGTGCTATCTCTCTTCAGTGCTAAAAGTTGTGGGTATTTTCCATTTCTTTATTTTTTTAAACTGGACATTTCGTTCAGCAAATGGGGCAGAACAGTCTTGAGCTATACAAAAAGAAACCAAATTAAATTATTTCAACTTTTTTTTTGACACAATTTAAAAGAAAATTTTAAATATAAGATAAAAATCTTAACAGAAGTGAAGTTTAGATTATAAGCACATGAATAAAGGGATATCGTTTATTATGTACAGTCTACTACAAGCAGTTAGGACATCCATCTTCTTATGCACGCATGCATATAAATATGGAACTAGTGGTGATAAACATTTAACTGTTTCCCTCTGTTTTTGCAGAATGCCAATAGAAACAGTACAAAAAGTGGTCACTACTAGCAAAACAGTTCACTACAATTAGAAAGGAAAGTTTTGGCTGCAGTCAAGAGGCTTTTAAATTGTATACTTGCAGAACTACTAAAGAGCTAGGAAACTGAAGCATTAATGAAAAGGTGTTAGAAAAATACTACCATGTTTTCTGCTCTGGAGAGAAAGTGACAAAGGGCTGCTGGGAGACAGGAAGCTATGGGAAAAACTTCTTCCCTCCCTCCCCACCCTGTTCCCTGAATTTTAACTTAAATGAAAAGAATCAAAACAGTCATGTGGTTTGTCATTCTTGGGAAAACAAAAATCTGTTGTTAGAGGACTTTACATTTCAATCCCAAGTAAGAACAATACTACAGAATGGTCATTCTGCTGTGAAATTCCTCCAAAGCAATACTGCAAGTTATTCCGACACATGGAAACACCACTAAAGATACCACTGATGAAGTGTGCCACTCATGCTTCACAACGCCTGTGTTTTGTAAGTGTATGAAAAACTGTTCATAAAGAAGCCACGGATTTTCCAGAAAACTAAACTGTTGCAGTGAGCGGCCATTCAGGTGGCTAAACTGATAAGGTATTGAAAAAAGCGTTTGAGAGATACTACTTTGACAAGTTCAGTTGATAAGTCACAACTGAAATTTGAAAACAAGAGGATGAGATCACAAGGGATTTTGGCTAATTGATGCAACATCATGTGTTAGATTAAAGGGAATGACTGCAAGGAGATCCAATGGCAAGCACGGAAGATGTGCTTCTTTAGTTGTAACATAAACAATGGAGATAACTTTTTTCCTCCTCCAGTGGGATAAGAGAAATCGTGCATATAAGATGCTGTACCCTTGTGCTTGCAGACAGCAGCTAATCAGCTTTATCATTACAGTTCAACCACACAATGCACAACAATAACTTCCAAACCAAGCCAGCTCTCTAGTATTGCTCAGGTGAGCAGTGCTCATACTTCTTTGGGTACGTTCATAAATTGCCTTTGGGGAACCAATGGGCAAGAGAGCCCTGGATGAAGCTGGGTTATTTTAGCAGGACTGAGGGCAGCAAGACATAGATCAGCAGGTGCTGGGCGCAAGACACAACTGTCCAACAATACCACTTCATTTATATTATATATTGGTTTGGTTGACAGGCCAATTAAACACATTCATATGTAAATATGTAGAAGTGATTTCAATATCAAATATATTTTATACAAAAACGAAGAAAGGAGGTTTTGTTGCCCTTTGAAGTTTGTGATATATAGAGAGGTCGTATAATTCTGCCCTATCAGGTATCACAGTTGAAGGTCAAATTTCACTGTTAGTAAGATGATCCTTTTATGGTGAAATGACAGGAATATAAGAGGCAGAAGGGGGAAAAAAAGCCTTGTAATTAGAAGCATGATAAAAAACGTATATTTACCCATCTTGCCTAAGTATACCTCTGCTTTCTACATGCTGACCTTTCCTGCAATTTCAAGGTTAACAAATTTAGCAGTGGGCTGTCTACATAAAATAATCTTACACAATCTCAGATTACTAAACACATTCTTAGCAGTTCCATACAAGGGGCAGCTGTCAGACAAGCAAAGCAACAGCTGCTACACAAGCAGGGCATAATCTGTAATTATAAATATAATAAATTTTTAGAAAAAAATAGGAAAAAAATAAAAGCTTATACAACTATAGCAATGTTAAACCAGAACACAATAATTAAAAAAAATAAAACTGAAAAAAGGATTGCTAGATGGCACTGCAGCAACACCACATTGTTTCTCCAACATTCTTATACCCATTTCTGACATCAATCTCTCCTTCCAGTTCTCAAATTTTTGCTCCATGTGAAGTTTCAGGTTCACATTCTTCTCCTGCTGATGACCTATGTGACTATTACTAGAGCTATAAACAAAAATAAAACAAATTTACATTAAAAAGCATCTCTGGTGAACTAATGAGGCGTCCATATGTAAAATTTTTTGAACAATAACACATAACTATAAAGACAAAATGTTATAATTTCCTAAAGAAACAGTCACCATAACATCTTTTTCTTGTCAGTTGAAACCAATTATAACAGTATATGTTACATCCCAAAACAATGCTTCAGAAGTTGCATACAAAATATAGAGGATCTGCTGAAAAGTAGTGCAGGACCTCCACTTAAGTATAGCAGAGTTCCTCCTCCACCCAAAAATTTCAGTTACATAAGAAGAAACTGCAAAACAAGGGCTGACCAGCAGAAATCTGATCTTTTAGATACATTTAGATACAGCTCTATATTTTCTCCTATCCTCCCGCAGTATTATTTGCTATCAACAAAAAAGTTTCTCTGAGACACAGTGGAAGAATACCAGTAAGGTCAGGATTTCACGCAAATTCGAAGAGCTGATACTGCTACTGGTACTTAGGTGACCAGTAATGATACACTGAACCCTTTCAAGTTATGTATTCATCCCTGCAAAATGTAACAGATTTATTGATATCATACTGTTCTGCAACCTTCTGGTTACTTTCAACTCGATATTACAGTTATTTTACGTAGCTGAATGACCGCTGCATTTGGTCAGATAAGATTGGTCATATAACTACAAAGACAGAACTGTGAACTAGAACAGGAGAGTCACAAACACCTAAATGGATATTTACTTTCCTATTCTGCTAGATTTTGCTTTTAAATTTACACTTCACCTGAATTAAGCTGAATGCTATAGTCAACACTTAGGCATACAAATGAAGTGTATCAGAAGTGCTGTCTCAGTGTAGTCTAGACAGGCACTTCTACAACTCCCTTGTTCATCCCAAAACTCTTCAGGGCAAGGCAGATCAGAAGAATAATTGCTGTATTGCTCAGTGAGCAGTATTCAGCTCAGCCTGGCAAAGAGGCAATGCTGGGTCTAAAGGACTCAAACTCCTCCTTCCATTCCCAAAGGATATGCTTCAGGTAAAATTCCTGAACAGGCTTTAAATGAATTTGCATATACTCCAGAACCACAGTAACATCTTTTAGTGACCTTTGACAAATTCCAGAGTCTTGCCCAGATCACTCACAATAACTAAAAAAAGTTATTTGAAACTTATCCAACCACCTCTACATTATAAATGTCGTTTGACCCAAAACAGTTTACAGCACTTTACAGCAGTTACCATTTTAAGCAGAGAATAATCCCAAAGATACCATTACATCTGAAGACAATAGTTACATTAAAAAAGAATGATGTGTAGACAGAACTCAAGAAATGTGTTTTTTCCCTCCACCCTACAAACTGCACACTTATTTCTCTTTTCTTCAAGACATTTATGATGATCAAGTCACAGTCCAGTCTTCTCTTTTATCAGCAGTATTAACTGCCGTGTCCCATTTGTCTTCTCCTAGTTTTAAAACCAAAAAGAAAATAAACAACAGGGAGCCTGTGCCGATACTGGCAAAACCTTTTACTTGCTTCACTTCCATCTCTTTCTGCTGTTTATTCTCCATATTTGTCTAGTATCTAATTATAAATTCTGCAGAAGAAAAAAAACCCACGTTATCTCTAAGCACTATGATTGGCTAAAAAAAAATAATTTTAAAAAAATGGTAATTTCTGCTCAGATCTCTCCAGAGATTTGGGAAAATCTCTGGAGTCAATATAGCTTCTCTCACTGTGCAGTATTACTCTGTGTCAGTGGTTACAGATAATCCCTTCTGGATAAGCACAGCATGCACAGAACAAATCGGACAAGCATGCCTTTCAAATAGTGGATCTTTAATCTCTTTAAATGAAAGAGAGATTTTCAGATCAGCAAATATAATGCAATATCTCTATGCTAAAGGATGCCACAATTTAAATAACATTTTTTTCACAAACAAACTAGACAATTCTAATTATCTAGGATCAAAAAATGAGTCTCTGATCATTGCACGTGACAAGTATAAAAGAATTCAACTTGCTTTTCCCAAGTACACTGAGTAACAATTCCTGCTAAAGGACACAATAATCTGGTGGCCTTTCAATTCTGCTAGCCTAGATTTCACTTTTATCCCCAAGACAATTAAAATAAAATTATGTTTTCGCTTCATATTCTGCTTCTTGTTGGCAATGGTCAAATTGTGCTACCATGTACAAATAGTATATCTTCTTCCTTTGGGTAAGGAGAAATAAGTGTTTTCTTTAAAAGTCACTGTTGTGGATATTCATGAACAGTACTGTCTCCCCTCCTATAGCATGCAACACTAAGAAAGATCTGTTCTTTCTGTATCATCCTTTCAGCTACAGTTGCTCCAAATGCATCTGATGGCTACCACAGCTAAAAAGATTAACTAAATCTGACTTCCTCCCTCCACCACGATCATAAAGACATTTAAGATAAAAAATGCCTATGAGATGCTTTCTGGACTTAAGGCACTGCAAGAAACTATGGTCAGTTTATACCCACTAAGGCATCAAAATACTTTCACAAGCGCCTTTTAAAAACCTGATGTATGTTTCATTAGCTAAAATTAACAATACATTATTAGACATGACCTTTGTACAAGGAATGAAAAACAAGACCACAGCTCCAGCCTATTGCTTCCTTGAAATTATCAAACTAAAGTCACAACTTTTCTTGGAAAGAGGTGGTTAAGAAAAATTATACTTCTTTTACAATCTTTCTCTACAATTATCTTAAAATTAAAAAGCACCACACCATTTCCTATAAAAACAATCTTCCTCTCAATCTCCATATCTCAAATTACTGATAAACTGAAAGTGGTATTCTGAGGCAAGTTTGGGTTCCATATAAATTCCATATAAAATATAAATTAATGACCCTTCTTGTAATTTTAAATTATTGTTTTCCATCACAGAGAACTGTATTTCTTAGAAATACAATGTAATGGAGAAGAAGAGAGCATTTTGCCCTTGAGAGCAGCAACATTTATAATTGCAAGTTGGTTTCAATAATGACTATAATGTAAATAACAATGTAATTTTAAATATAAATTGCACCAATTGCCTGGATGTCTTGCAGTCACAAGAAGAACAGTAAACCAAAATATGGTGATATCAAAAGACAACTCAGGAAACAGCATACACGTAAGAAAGAACATATTACACATAAGCATAGCTTACCCCTATAACCTAACCAGCAAAATTACCCACTGCAGTCCAACCACTTACTTCAGCACATACGGAAAGAGGAGATTGATGGGTACTTCTGCTCCCTCGCATAAGGGCCTAATGGGGCTTATGTCAGCTTCTTTTACAAAAAAAAAGAAAACAAAAATCAACCAATCAACCAAAACCCCCCACGAAAACAAACAAAAAAACCCACCGAAAACAAAACCACCCCTCCCCACACACACAAAAAAACTTGGCTGTAAATCACACACAGCTGAATGTGGTTGGCATATCTGATTCAGTGGAGACTTTGCAATTGCTCGTACTAAAAATGCCATGTTTGAGCTAGTCACCTTTCAACCAAATAAGTGCAAGGTGATCCTGAAGAACAGAGTAATAATTGAGAACCTTCAGACTTCCATACAACCCCTATTTGTCAAAGAAGTGTAAAGCTTTACAACTTTCTTCAAAGTATAAAGAAACTGAACTTGCTTCTCTCTTCCTTGCTATCCTTATTTCCAGCTGTTTCACAGTGTGCTACAAGTCAAGATGAAACAAGCAGTCAGCATAGGCACAGTATTGTGACCACCAGTCAATACAGTTCCTCGAAAAAATTATGACTATCAGTGATACAAGTTAGCATCACTTGTGCGTTGTCTCCTTCTTTACTCCTGGAGGCTGGTTTGCTGTTTACCTTACAAGTAAGGTCAGGTATATGAAACAGCAAATATACATCATGCATTATACAATTTGACCAAAATAGATAAAATACAGCAGAAGCTGGGGGATAGGATAAAGACCAAACAACAAACAAGAGAAACCTGGTAGCAGGGACATACCTTGGGTATAGCATGTGGTGGGCTATGTTGCAGGGTACATCGCATCCTACACGGGGTATGGTGTCAGGCCCATTATTCAGGGCAGACAAAAGATTAGGAGGCATAAGGGACTGCAAGGTATGGTGGGAAGAAATAATTGCTTCTAGGACTGAGACATGGTTACCTATTCTAGAGAGTGTCCAAGGAATGTAATAGAGGGCAACACACCATGAGGAGCACTGACACTGAGTCCCTAGAGCAAATATCCCCAGGGATGACAGGAAGGGACAGCCACACAGATGGAGGATGGGAATGCTACTGGCAAGGCAGGGATCAAGTATTCTCCAGGACTAGAGGTCTGCAGAGCAGAAAGGGAGAAAAAGACAACTGAGTAGGGATGAAGGAAAACTCTGCCAACAGAACCCGCAGGCAGGAAGCAGAACCCAGAAGGAAGGTTCCATGGAGGACCCAGAGGGTCAGATGTTCTGAGGCAGAAGGGCAGATGGCAGGCAGATTGTTGAGGTCAAGTCCCTTAGAGGAAGGCAGTAGAGAGAAGCACAAGATAATGCTTTGGACTCAGGGACTGCACACGGAGGACACTTAGCGAGAGGGGTGCAGAAAGACAGTGTGCCCAGAGAGAGAAAAGGACGCGAGATGCACAAGCGACGCGTCGGGAGCTCCGAAAGACAACCTGCGGCACGACGAAATGCTGTGCGACCGCAGTGTCTTCTGATGGAGCAGTCCAGCCGCAGGCCGGCTCCTCCCGGCACGAACCTGCCCGTCCCTCCGCTCACGGACGTCGCCGCGTCTCCCGGGAGCTGCGGCGGGGAGGGCCGTGCCGAGGGGCGGGCTCGTGTCCGTGGGGGACACCGCCCACCATCATCCGTCGGGGGGGCCCTACCCCTCCCCTTCCTCTCGGCCTTCGCTCCGGGAGGAACCGCCAGTTCCCCTTCTGCCTCCGTTCCTGAACAACCAGCTGGCGCTTCTCGGCTACTCGCGCTGCGTTCACTTCCAGGCCTCCGTTAGCATATTCTCTTCCTCACATTCTCCCCGTTCCATCCTCGCTACTCTCTCACAGCAGCTCCTCCTCTGCATCGTGTGAGGACGGGCATGCTCCTCTGCAGCCCCAGTCTCTTTTAGTAACACCCTCTTCCCCCAAAACACAGATAATATTTGTACCATACTCTCAGATCTCACTCTCTTGTTCACTTGTCTTCCCATACATTTTGTTTATCAGTCTGTTTAGTATTAAACAATTTCTCCATAGTGCAGATCAGAAAGGAGATTCTTGGCCCCTTACAGTACAGTTGTTAGGGATGGGAACAAACTTCCTATCATCTGAACTTCCACTGCATCATTTGAAAAACTTTAAAAAGCCTGTAAAACAAGTTCAGGCCATCTGCAACATGAGGTCATGCGGCACAGATAAATATATTTTGCTATCAAGGCATTTAATTATTAAAAAATGTATCCATCAACCAAACCACATGAGACAGACAAAGATGTAAAACATGAGCTGGACCTAAAGCATGATTTTCCCTTAGTCACTTAGATGACTTGCTTGTCTGGAAGTCATGATGCAAACTTCCTGTAATGCTCTCTCACTTTTCTGTTTTTCTAGATTATATAAAGATTTGTCTGAGGAGAGACTTTTCAGAAACCTGAATGTTGCATCCAAATTAAATCTGAAGTACACTAATTTAAAGAAGATAAAGTATTACCTAAGTAGTTCTTATAGATCTTATATATCTATATATATATGTTACATATCTTAAGATATAAGTAGTTCTTTCCTTATGTCACCAGAAAAGAACTGTATGTCCTAGCCCCATGACATTTAAAGAAAGGAGGGATTAATTTCCATCAGTAACTATTTCTGAAAATTAGAATCAGAACTTACAACCTGACTTTTGAAATAAAGCGAGTTTCATTTAGCTACATATAATTTCAGAATACTACAATTATTAAAGGGATTTAGTTAATTTATTTATATGAATCACCTCTGGTTTAAAATACAACAATGAAAACTGGCTTCAAACGATTTTCCATACCTGAGCACACAAAAATTATAATGCAAGTCCCAGCATAATTTACATACTGCAGTGGGCCTCTCAAAGCATTCATCTGAATAATCACATAATAGGTAAATGTCTAAATCCATATGCCATTCTGACTGCTGGCATGCTCCTTTTCCTTATGCCTTATCTCAGCATTGCCTAACTTATCAACCACACCATCTTCTTCACCCCTACCCCCCTTTCAAGTGAGCTGTCATATTATCCAACATACCTTCAAACAGTCCCTAGTCACGTAGTTAAGTGCATGTCAGTTCCCTAAATGAGTAACTGATGGCTTCCGGTGATTCAATAGTGCCCAAAATGGATAAACTTTACTGGTGAGTCAAAAAGATTATAGTCTACACAATGTGAACTTGGGGATCGATGTAGGAACCTGAATACATCTAAAATAAATGCAGGAAATGTCTTGGTTTTATAGATGGAAATGGAAGGAAACCTTTGGCCCTTTTAGCAAACAGGAGTTTAGAAGAGATTTTCTGTTCTTACCAAACATTAGTGAGTTCTGTAAGATTTCGGCCAAAGGTAAGATTTCAGCTACCTTTAGAACCACCTTCAGAGTCAACCTTTTTGAATACAAGCCTTTGGCCCCATCACTACACTTTGAAATAGCAACACTTACAAGTAGCTTCACAAGGAAATTAAAACAATAAGGACTCACCCTCTGAAAATGCTACATTGTAGAGAGGAAAAGCAGGGTACATACTGGCTACACATATACTACTAGCCTGCAAGTAAATGGCCTAAATTCAGATAATGGTAGACAGTCAAAAACTGGCTTTACTGATCTTTAAGATTAGCAATGTAGGTCTTACTGGCTATATGCTATCTACCCAAAATTGCTCATCTTCACACATTACTGCAATGAATCTCTAAGCAAGGACAAATGGGTACTACAGTTCATCAAAACTGAACCAAAAGCCAACGCAAACATAATGTGCAGGGAAAAGAAGAAACTTCTAAGTCATTAGAAGAGTTTCAGATCCTCCCTCGGTATTACATGATCTCAGTAAGGTTCTAAAATATTGGAAGCTACTAATCTCTACAATACCATAGTTCTCAAAAGAAAATACTGTATCCTACCTGTCCTCTTCTGGTTGGAACCTTACTCCTGTGCATCTCCACACCAGTGATAGGAATCAAAGAATCATTTAAGTTGGAAAAGACTGGTTTTTTAAGAGCATTGAGTCCAACTGTTAACCTCGGGGATGGTGACTCCACCAACAACCTGGACAGCCATTCCAATGCTTGATAACCCTTTTGGAGAAGAAATTTTTCCTAATATCCAATCTAAACCTCCCCTGACACAACTCAAAGCTGTTTCCTCTTGTCCTGTCCCTTGCTCCCCAGGAGCAAAGCCCAATCCCCACCTGGCTCTACCCTCCTGTCAGGGCAAGAAGGTCCCTCCTGAGCCTCTGTTTCTCTAGGCTGAACCCTGCCACCTCGCTCAGCCGGTCTATGTGCTCCAGATCCTTCCCCAGATCTGTTCCCTTCTCTGGACACACTCCAGTCTCTCAACGTCTGTCTTGTCGTGAGGGGCCAAAATCTGAACACAGGATTCAAGGTGCGGCCTCACGAGTGCCCAGCACAGGGGGATAGTCACTCCCCTACCCACTGGATTATGTGCTATAAGCACACAAAGGAGTAGAGCACCTACTCCTGAATTTCCTAAGCACCGAGTACCCCAAAGAGTGATACTTTCTGTAGTGTACTTGAGAAGCTCACTACAACTTTCACAGATGCTAAATAGCAGTATGAACACACACGCAGTTTTATAATCCAACATTTGTATGAATAGCAGTAGACCAACAACAGATCAGTGCAGAAAGCTAAGTCCATCTTGATGTAAAAGGAGATGTCTCAAGCAAGCATATTTGCAGGGAGCACTCTCTTTGTAGAGGATGAGGAAGGAAGACTGTAAGTTATCTGCAAAATGCACAATATCACACTCAAAATAGCTGAGAAGAAAACAACAAGGCAAGGAAGCTTGTAAGAGTCGCTCTCATGCGACAATGTCTCATGAGACAATGAAGAAATTGCGATCGCTCCCTGAAAAACAGAAATAGCAACACAGAACAAACCTCCACTGTAGAAGTCCATTCATACGTTGAAGTCCACAGCTCAGGTCCTGCTCCTCTGGACCTCTGGACAGCCAGTCCATCATCCACGCCAGCAGGACCCAGCCCCGCGCCGGCCTCCCGGGGCCGCGCAGCACGCGGCCGGCCCTGCGCGGGAGAACCCGTAGCAGCGGGAAGGAGTCACGGCGGCAGTAGGACCCAGGGCGCCCTCGCTGTGGCAGGGGAGGGGCGAGAGCCACAGACCCGCCGCGCCGGAGCTCCGCAGCCGGCGGGACCAGACGGGCTGGGGCGGGTGTGTGCGGGCGCACGGGGACAGCAGCTGCGGTCCGGCGCGAGCACGGTCATCCTCTCGGTGAGGCGCGGGACGTGACTCAGGTACTGAGGCGGAGCCGTCGTGCGTGATGTTGCGGAGCGCTTGCCTGGCGCACGGGGCTGAACGCCGTGGGGAGCGCGGGGAGCGCGGGGATGGCGGGGGGTTCCCGAGCCGCGTGAACCGACCTCAAAGCCCCCGGCTCACCGAGGGCGCATCTCCGCGTGGGGCTGTCCGGGCCGGCGGATGCGCCCGAGCGCCTTCTAAGCTTTGGGCGAGCGCAGCGCGGGAGCCGAGGGTTCATCCCTCGCCCAGAGGCTGCGCTGGGCGCCGGTGCGGCGGTGGGCACGACGCCGACTGTCCTCGCCCCCCTTGGCGCCACCTCACGAGGGACGGCGGGGCGCCGTCCCACCGGCTGCGTTTCTCCCCGCGCCTGGGACCAAGAGGGCGCATCTTTTTCTCGGAAAACCCTCGTTGCCGTATGGGTCGCCCAACGTCCTCACAGCCAACGGCCTGAAAGCGCTGTCCGGGCGCAGAGCAGTGCTGGCGACCAAGCCCCGCTCTGCCCGCTACGGGAGAGCGCTGCCCCCAGCTTCTTCCCCCTTTGGCGCCGGGTCACGTCTCGGCTTGCGGTGCCGCCGGCCCCAGCGCACGTACAGTGCCACACCGGTGGCTCGTGAGACACCCGCGAGCTCCGGCTTTGTTCCCGTCATCCCTGGCCTCAGACCGTTACTGGGCGAAGAGGGTCTCCGCGAAAGCCTCGCCTCCGCGATCCCTTCGCTGCTGCTCACCTCCTGTTTCAGTGTTGAGCCCCGGGGGTGAATTTCGAAGTTCTTTGTCACAGTGGTGACCGCTCAGATCCGTCAGAGCGAGCGACGTGCAGACTGAGGACCGTCCCTTCGTAAAGGACGTCGTGGCAGCCCCGGGCATGAACTCCGTTACTCGGTTCAGCGAGCGCTCTGAGAACGGTGGGGAGCCTCCCTGGGCTTCGCGAGCATCGCCGAGTGCTCCGCGGGAGCCCCCTCGGCTACGTGCCCCCCCCGGAGCGCCGCTCGGGCGGTCGTGGCCGTGGCCGTTGGCGGCGCCACGACCGCCACCATTGTTTTCCCGACCCCGCTCCTCCCTTGCGGGGCGGCCGCCGCAACCCCTTTCCACTTCTTGGGAAGGAGCCCATTTTTGCTGCTGCTCGCAATCCACCGGGAATGGTCTGCGGCTTGCCTTCTTCTAAGAGGTTCCGCGAAGAAAAAGTGAACAAAGGTGGAGTTGAATTGCAGCAATACAACTTCCTCTCGGGCACAGACCGTTAGCACTGGCTGTGGAAATGCGCTCCTCTTGGGCAGCGGGTTTGCGTGCTTTTTGGCTAAAGCAATTGGAAGACCGTTTAGTTTAGAATGTCTCAGAGTAAAGTCAAGTATGGTTTTGCAATGGTTATTTCAGAGGAAGCAGTGTGGCAGTCAGCCGCTTTAAAATGTAAACCAGAATCTATTAGTACAGTACACCTGTTGTGGTTCAGTC